ACACTTGCTCATAAGTAGTTTTCTTACATGTTTGGATTGCAGTTTGTTCTCGATATACAATTTCCATTTTTTTCTACTTAGCACTTTCATTCATGTTTCCAAACTTTCATCAATGTGGAGGCAAGCTTGGGGTTCCACACCAGAAAACCATATTTTATCTTTTCTGGTGAAAATACGCCATGAAAAGACTATTCTACTTCCTGAAGAATACTTAATATACGTATTGAGATGAAATGATTTGTGCAAGGCCCTGTCGTACCAGCTGCTGTATTTTAAACTACAGAACTACATGCCAAGAAAAATACTGGGCAAACATTCTGCCTGTTTCTGATTTTTTCTTGAAGCCTGTTCAATATGTGTAACAGTTTCTTTGCAAACACACTACACACAACCAAACACGCACTTAACTAAAACACTTGGAGACTGACGTCTCTCGCATATTGGCGTAAATAGATCGCTTTAAATCCTCAGTATTCCAGGTTGTGAGTCAGGTTTAAGAGTACAACATTATGGCGTCACACTCAAAAAAGACATCATCTGTTACAAGTCAGTGCAGCACACTCAGTCCCTATAAACAATCTCTGGAATGGCAATGAGTTCTTGTAAATCTCCGGTCCCTGCTTCAGACTGACATAAGCATTTGCCCGAAGCCTAATGAACATTGTATCTGTTTGACTTTGTTGTTGTGGGAATTTGCCAAGCTTTCACACACCAAGATAAGAAAGGAAAATTCCCACACTTCAAAATGAGTTTCTGCAATTCAGTGAAACTAACTTTTTTTTTTACCAGTAATGTCACAAGCACAGAAGTGTATTATCATCTGTCTTTCTTCCTTTTTCTTTTATGTAGTTGTTTTAGGCTTTTCGGTACCCTCACATGTCAACATGCATTTCTTTCAGTTTGGCTTTAAGATAAAAAAGGTCCTGCAAACAGACTGTACAGCGATGACTGTGCAGAAGAGAAGAACACAATTTTCAGCATAATAAATGCATTATAAGAAGTATTTGATTTCCCTGAAAAACTCAAATATATACTGTACTACTGGCAGGATTGATTAATACAGTAAGCCACCCAGAAGACTCTCAGTGTACCGTCTGACTGTCTAGACATCATCAGACAGCTCTAGCTGGTGGAGATGAGTAAATATGAACAACTCTTGGGGGCGATTCAGAGAAAAGCTCTATCTCTTGTTACCTTTAACTTAGTAAATTGCAGGGAACTGGTAGTTAGACTAATAAATTAAATAGATTACAGATTATCAAATCCTTTAATCCACATACAGTTACTGGAAATTAATTGATGAATAATTACACAGGAGTGCAGACACGACTCAACAAAATCCTATTAACAGATGCTGTCATTAACCTCGCGTGACCTTTCGAATACAGAGGGGAACTCCTGTGTCATTTGCATGTTTCTGCAAGTTCACAATCTATCCAAGTGCAGTGTTCTGGACAGCTTCTGTAGTGGGGCACACCCACCTTCGGTCCTCTGAGCAGGACTCCTGGCGCAATCAAGAAACGAGTCTGGCCCACAGCTGTTTGCTCAGCTCCATGTGCATTCACAAAATTTCTGTTTTCTAATTCTACAGTAATCTTTGTCTACGAGGCGGATACTTTCTGATCTATGCAATATTCACAGAAATGGAAAAATGCATTCCCCCGCATCTATCCAGAATGATACATCACAGGGCTGGCGTTTTGCTCAGAGACACATCTGGCCACTGGACAGATACGAGTACAACCACATTCTGCGGACATCCAAGACCAGGGTATATTTAAGTGTGCACAATTAGTCGTCCCAGAATACAATGTAAAAGATTAGTTTTACACTATAACGTAGATTAAAGATAATGTAAACATCCACAGACTTGATTCGCTTTGCAGCTGCTTCAGGGAGATTTTCATTATCTAGGTACTCATTCGGATGGACGAGCCTTTTCTCAGTTCTTGATAAACAGTGAGTACAAGGCCTTTCCCACTTACCCCTCTCATGTAACCTCAGTAATTCAGAATAGATTAGCTATCAAAAGTTGCTTTCAGTGGCAGGCAGTGATTTGGCAGAAACACATGAGCAATTTCATTTTGTTTCCTGAACCTACTGCAAGTGACAAAGCCCAGGTAATAAAAGGTAACAGTACAGCGCCTCGTTCTGCCTTTGCAATGGCTCATCAGTGGGTGACGTGTGCAGGCTCTTTCATACACATCCACCGACGCATGTTTGATTCAGCACAACGGAGAACTAAAGAGAGCTGTCCTGCTTTTGTGAGAAAGAAAAATAAAGCACAGAATGCCCTTCTGTGGCCCTTGGGCGGGTACTGCAAGGTTCGTCTGCAAGGGAATGGAGCCCTGTTCTCTCCGCTCAGGATCAGCAGGTGTTGGAGAAGAGACACAGGCCCAGCTCTCGGCACTGCCGCCCTCAGCCTCAGAGCTTTCCCAATGCGGAGACTGTGGGAGGACTCTGGCACAATGCAGTCTCTTCGCGCATTAGCATGAGCGCCAGGCCAAGATGAATGAAACAGGCTCCCCATTCAGAGATCTGAATTGCACTGAGCACAGGCTACCTGCAAACCTTGCTCTGTAACTACATTAGCTATTAAATAACACTCAATAGGTCTGGCCTCCCCTCTTCCCCCGGGGCTTGGAAAAGCACTCGCAGACTTCCTGGAGCGCGCCGGAGATGCGATGACATCACCCTGCTCCTGGAGCCTGAAGCCTCAGTGTGCTCTACGTGTGAGCCCCCTAGAGACCGCCTCATGGCAGACAGCTCCTAGCCTCCTTTTGTTTTCCAATACTTCCTGCGCAATCTGTTCCCAACCCAACCATAGCAATGCATTATTTACAAAAATTAAACCCGAAGTGAAGGGGGGAAAGGGAACAACAGGTTCCATCAGGAGCACCACACATTAAAGTTTCAGAATGCTGATTTATAATAGTCTCCCCCCATAGTGGATTAAGATTTTTTACCCTTCATCACTATCGGCTCTGGGTCTCTTTAATTGTTTCATTAAAAAGCTATGAAAACAACGCCTAGGCTACAGCCTATGAAGACAGAATTAGCAGACTCCTGTGTGCACAGTTTGGCTCTGTTCAGTATTTGTCAAAGTGATCTACACCACACTGTTCATCTATTCCAAACTCAAACTAAACACCTTTACAAAATGCATTTCCTACAGTATATTTATGTCAACTTAGAGCAACAGAATCACATTAAAAAGGTCTTTCTCAATTCTTGATAAACAGTGAGTACAAGGTCTATCATACCTACCCCTTCTTGCCCACAGTGCAGTACCAGATGCCACTATCTAAGCAGAAGCTATCAATGGCAGGCAGTGATTTGACTCAAATAACCAGATAAAGCCCTCCACACCAACATTCAGAAGAAAGTATCCCTAAATGATATAACTGCTTGTCTTAAAGTCTACAAAAAGTCATTGCAAATTATTACTCCCTTATAACATATTTTAGGATTCTAAAGCATAGATCTCTTCCCCAGGCTCCTAAACAATCTTTGATCCTTGAGAGCTAAAAGATATTTGGAACTTTCATATACCAAATGAACTCAAAATCACTTTATTTAACTCCAAATTAAAGTTCACAAGTTAACTGTGTCAATGTATGAAACTGAGTCAATATATAACATTTCTTTAGAAACTGATGATATAATGGTTACCTAAATCTGTTGGATTGGAGATAGACAACCCTTAGAGAAGTAACAAAACAGTACCACATGTCAACTGTTATGTTGGGAAGATTGCAACAGAACGGGAAGGAAATATTTTTGTTATTTTTAATGACCCTTTAAAACCGTTGGCAGATACGATTTCAACATTTACTTTTATGAAGCCGTCATAAGCTGATCTGCAATACTGTAGAACAGAGAGAGAAGCTGAGTCCTTCGCTACATTGGCTGGTATTGTCAAACAGAGGCCGGCTGTACCGACAAGAAAACATTTACTCTGCACAAGGTACAAGAGGAAATGCTTTAACCACAGGAACTCTGCATTTTCTTTCAAACTGCAGCTTGAGATAGCATAAAATGAAAAACGTGAAAGATTCTTCAGCTGCACAGGCGTTGCACAGATACACCTCAAAATGATAATACACATGCCTTTTTAATCAGTTATTTTCTCTTTTATTTCAGTAACATGACATACGATAAAACAAACATTATTTGCGATGCTGCTATTAGCTACTTTTGCAATGATTGATTCGAGGTTACTTGTCTAAAGCGTGGACAGACATTGCCTAAATGCGCCTTTTCCAAGATTATGCACGCACCGTGTATGAAATAAGATGTTGGAGAATGAAATTGGAGAAACCTCTCGGAATGTACAGAATTACCACAGATGGGCAAACGGTCATTACAACACCACTCAGAGCGCAAGTCTGCATTCAATTTTAGCAGCACGTAAATACAGGGTGGCCTGTTGGTAGCATCATTCTTCTGGCAGTTTAATTTAGATAATGTGCGCCAAGAGATGTTTGTTATTCTGGGGATCTTCCGAAATACAAAAACCCGAACTGTGGTTATCGTACATCATCTCACAGAGGAGTCGGCGTGATTGTCTATTTCGCTTGTTCTCGTTGTGTGAATGCCCAGTAGTACACAGATTTAAAACGCGATGTAAAGATCTGATGTAAATCTAGTCGAAAAACACTCAAATTGTTTCTCAACTAATAATTTACTCTATAAGGTGTGTGATTAAAGATTCTAACGAAATCACCCTTAATAGATCGTTAGGAACCGATGTCTCTACTTTGTACCCTTGTGTTTTCACAACTCTGCACTGTTGTGATGCTTTAAAGAAATCCTGATTTATTTGTTGCGTGTTTGTATCTCACAAACATCTTCACACTGCTACTGTTAGGGGGATCCATTGGTCTTGTCTATGACTGATATCGAATAATTTAGATCTACATCCAACTCGGCTTTTTCTCCCAATAATAAAAATGGTCATTATATTACCTCCCTGTACGGCACAGGGCTACGACACTTACCGGACAGTTCGTCTGGTTCCAGCCCGGTTTCGGTGTCGAGTCCGCAGATGACAAAGTAGTCTGCGAATCGGCAGGAGTTCGAGCTGAAGCCGGTGGTCATTTTGAGACTGGTCCGGTGGTGCGCTTTTCCTCGCCTTTTCAGCTGATTGCATATCAGGGGACTGGGGAATCACCTCGCGCTGCCATTATGGATTCACCACTAAACCCCCAAAACCCAGAATCGAGAGCCGGGAGGCGCAGACGCAGTGCATTGTGGGGCCCCATCCAGCTGTTTTCAGCTGCCAGAGTGCCTCCTACCCCTGCTGCCACCGAGGTGGGACTGCGCCTGCGCCGAATGCTGAAGAAAAGGATGACGTTATGGTCTTAACCCTTCGGGTGCATGCGGTCATGCACTGGTTTACAATTCACTGGTTCAGTTCAGCTTTCGCCGCATGCATATACGCCAATGTCATTTTTTTCTCCTAATAATTACTATATGTGCTGCAACTGAGTGATGGTGTCACAGCACTATTACAAAAAAGTACAGCTGACTAATAGCCGGGGACTCCTAAATAAATTGAAACATTTATCTTGAAACCTTTAGGTTATTTTCTAATGGGACTTCTAGAATGCTTTGAAATCTAGCAGAGCACAACTGTAGAATTAGAAGAAATACAATTTTAAACTCTTTTTAAAGTACATTGAAGAACGTGGATCTTTGTGGTGTTGTAGTAAAAATATATTTAGTGGTGTGCACACCTTCCAACCTTAGAAACACAGGTCGCCATTAATGAATAAAAACGTTAGTGATGCTGGCAATATCCATGCACCCCTAACGCAATATCCACACAGCAAAAAGATGTGTAAATCTTTCCATTAACGATGAAGTGTTCTGTTTTGTTGAAATTGGGCAGACGTGATGTTGTATGCAGAAAATACATGCACTGATAACACTCACATGCTACAAAGACCATGCATTAAAAAAATATAAAACATTTAACAGTTGTTTCTTGTTCAAAGTTGACAAGAAGAAACACATTACACAAAATAGGGCAAAAAAAACTCCCCCCCAGCACAGCACTGTAGGATAAAGTCCACCGAGGTCACAGTACTGAGGTTTTTATTAATGTAGTCCATTAAATGTGAAATATGCAGTACAGTATGTTCTGTACAAAGCCCAGGGGCCGTGAAATGTGGACAACTAGAAAAAGCAGCTAGTTCTTTAAGCCAAGGGTTCCCAATCCTAATATTTATTCCTGCCAGGCTAAGTTAATTGCAGCTTTAATTGAACTAGTAAGTTGCTTGATTTCAAATGTTTGCAAGTTTTTTGTACTATAAAGATTGATATTTTATATGCCTTTATGAAATGCAACAGTTAAAAGACAACCTTCAACGTATTTAAAAGCCAGTCAAAATGAATACTGTAATTTAGTCAGTTAAGGGTTCACGTGTGTAACAGAGCCGGGTTGGACTGGGAGCCCCTGTTCTTGGCAAAGCAGAAAATGTATGAAATGTTATCCATAAAAATATGTCTCACCGCCTTCCTACTGCCGGTGGAAATGAATTGCCTTGATCCCCCATTCCCACAAAATCCATGATAAATGTACTTCAATAAGCACTCGAAGGAAAAAATAGAAGTAAACAAGCTTTTGGAAGAATTCATTTTATCTTTGGCAAGTTCCCAAGGCCCTGCACTGTAATCCAGGTTTGCAGCCTGCCCTTCATAAATTGCAAAATGCCTTAATTCACACTCACCTTGTTACCATCTTTGAAAGGTGAATACAAATGTAACATTCAGATGAATTCTTCTCAACACCTGTATTTCTGTTTTATGAAAGATCAGAATCTGGCATTCTTCTTTCATTTCTGTCTGAACTACTTGCCATGCAGGCAATGCAAACTTCAACATTTAATACTTCCCTTCAAATGACTTTGTTTTACCAAGTTTGTTTCAGCCTAGTGGGAAAATGGCAAGTGCAGAGCTGCATTGTCGGGCATTGTGCACGAGTCTCCATTCAGAGCCGCTCACGAAGAGCAGAGTGAGGAAGAAGAGACCGGCAGTTTTCCCTCCGATTGAGGAGAGACTGAGAAAACGGCTCAGTGGAACACAGCCTGCACTCAGAGTTAGAAGTGAAAAAACAACTTCAGTCGTGACTCCAGCCCCACATATCCATTCAGTTAATCACACTTTGGCTACTTTCCCCAGATGATTCGTGAAAAAAAAAAACAGTGGGGAAGAGGTTTCTTTTTATATAGAAGAACACAAGGGAACTTGTTCATCCTCTTTAACACAGATGTAGGTGCCCTGTGTCACAATCCCCGGTCTCTTGTAATAAAAGTATTTAAGTATTGACTCAATGAAGACAACAGCTTAAATTCCAAATGTGATTTTTATTAGTTTTTTTTAATAAATATATGAATAATAAAACTTTTTTGTGACGTTGGGGAAAAAGACTTAATGAAAGCATTTATAAATATGGATCATACTGCATTACATATTTCAGGAGCACAATTTAATACTGTAGTTTACCGATGGACCTTTTTACACATGAACAGAACAGTGGACATATTCAATCATCTTGCTCACCACACGCCTGTACAGGAAACAAACTGAATATAAACTGAATATTGCAACCACTATTTAGAGATATATTCACCTGGTGTGTTTTACTATTCCTGACCTGCAAACATTTTTCTAATAGTACAAATATGTGTTATGAAGTATCCCATTTTAATTGATAGAGATCAAGCTCAGAAGGTTTGAAAAATGTTTTTTCAAAATCTACAAGAGTACGTAGAGGACAAAGATACTATGCAGATACTGATACAGTTAGGTGTAAAATGTCAACAAATTGTATAAGTTCTAGGTAACCAGCTAAATGATCCAGACCCTAAGAGTTCCAACAGTTTACGAGTAAATCGGAAAGGTTTCCCTTTTATAGTACAGCTTTGACATTTAAAATGTTGGCAAATATTTTTTACTCCATGAAAAGGCAGTTTCTCTTCTAACATGAACAAGCACCACCTAAACAGCCTCGACTGTTTCTTTCCAACATCTACTACAATTTAATATTGTGTGGTAGTTTTAGACAACACAATAAAGTCTGAATATCATAACTCCTTAGAAGAATCTCCAACTAAATTATAAAATAATTTTAAATTAAATTTGGATTCCATATATAAGCTATAAACTACATGATACTCCTATCAGGTCAATACCTACAGCAAAAAAAAAATGTTTTTTAATAGTCCTGCAACAAACACGTAAAACTGAAGAGTAACTGTGTTTACCAGATAATATTTCTATTACATTTTACCAAAATTTCTGTCCTTTGATGTAAATCTTTGAAACAAACTCTCCTTTACGTTGACAAAGACCAGAAAATAAACTCTGTAAGAAAAACTTTCAAAAAAGTGGTCCGGGGGACAGCAGTGGAAAATGAAACCAGACCACATTGCTGGGAAAAAGGCAATTCAGCACAGAGATCTTATCTTGGTATAATTAGAACCTGGCCTGTCAGGTTTGAGGAAGCAACAGTAACACCCCAGGTATGTGCTAATTGAAACCACCTCTTGTGGATTCTTTGTTACTTTCAGGAAGGGGGCAGTTTCAGCAGACAATCTAAAACACTTGTTGAAACCCAGAGAATTCACTTTAGTTCCACATTAACATTTGAATAGACCTCCACCCCGTGAATTTGAATCTGGCAAGAAGCGTGACAGCCAATGTTTAAAAAAAAAAACCCCACAAAGCTCTTTGAAATCATAACACATGGAGCGCACTTAAACACCCGACCATCAATTTGACTAATCTGGTAAATAATACAGTACGTCACATCATGGCAGAGCACAAAATAGCAAGAGATGAAACGTTGACAATGGGGTTTCCAAGAGCAGTGTGCAGGCCCTCTGAATGATACAGGGCTGAGAAGCAGGAAGTGCCAAGAGCTGAAGCACTTGGTTCTGAATTCTCTCAGAGCGGGTTACTGGACACAAAGCTCGGGGAAGCGAGCAAGAAGATGCTTCTGCGAACACAGTGACGCCCCAACAGGAAAACAGACCAGCACCCCTAGTCACGAAACGACTTGAGAAATATTGGAGAAGGAGGCCTTGGGAAACACTTCCGTGTGCGAGACGAACCCGCAGCTCATTTTAAAGTACCAGTATGTCAAAAAGGACTTTAACAGACACCTGCAAAGGACTCAAAGAAGAAACAGAAGAAAACAATCAGAGATCGAATACTAGGAGAAACAAAGGAGATTAACTCTCTCCTCAATTCCCTCTTTCTTCTCAGTAGCACATTATGTCAGACTGGGGTAACAACATCCAAAACCATTTCCATAATGCCCAGACAAATCCATTTCAAGATATGGCTTGTTCCCAGAGTAAACCCCAGAGCATGGGTTAGCTGTTAGGGTCCTAGACTCATTCAGAGCCTCGCAGGCTCAAGGCTCCAGTCAGTTACTTCCCCTGTGCTGTTCAGGCGATAACCTGTGATGGAATACAGTCATATCCAGGGAGAGGCCCATATTCGTGCTCTTCTATACTAAATCAGAACATACTCTGCACATGTAAGCCACTTTGACCTTCTTGCCACAGCAATAATGATCAGATCTTTTACCAGCTTGCCTGTTGCTATGATAACAGATTTCTGAGGAGGCTTGAGCAGTCTGTCTGTTAATTCTAGTCCACCTTCAAAAACTAAGACTTACTAGGGTGCTTGGGAAGAGAGATAGATTTTAATTTTCCAATTATGAGATGTATAATTACATCTTTAGTATAGGAAAGATTTGAATGAAAGTATGGATTTAAGAACAACAGTATGAATAAAAGAAGGTTCACCAAAAATGAATACCGATCTTCCTTTTGTTCTACCAGTGTTTCACACACAGCTGTCGATTAAGCAAACGAGTGCTTGCCACAGACTGATGATGGTAAAACGACTAATTTTAAAGATATTGCTTCCGTTTACTCAAATTTGTTGTTTTTTTTACAATCAAGTATGGACAAAAAGTCTCTGAAATAAATATTTAAAAATATCCCATTTAAAAAAAATCACATACAAAAGGTCTTCAGAGAGACCAATGCTTTGTGAAAAGACAAGAGGAGGCAGCGGAGGGGTGAGTGTCTGTTTAACCGGCAAAAATAAAAACATGAGTTTTATTCAAGCCACTAAACTGTCTGACTTTCTTTATTCACCGTGCGCTTGGCGGAGGTTTTCTTTTCCTCCCCAGCAGCTTCTAAACGCAGAGTCAATAAAGCAAGACTTTAAAAAAAGAACAGGTCTGGAGTCACCGAGAGAGCAGCCCCGTCCTTTGGGTGAACGCGAGGTTTCAGAACTGCGCGGCTCGTGGCGGCGGTGGAGACGGGTTTGCCTCACTGCCGGCCAGGAAGCTCCAGAGGGACCTGAGAGGTGAGCCGAGAGCTGACGGACAGGGTGATCCAGGGCCGGGCTACTCCAGCTTCTGCTGCAGCTTCTTCTGGAAGCAGACCGGAAGGATGGAGAGGACAGCCAGGACCCCCAGCACAGCCAGGGAGTTCCAGGACACAGCCTCCCCGGCAGTGGTGAGCTTGTACAGAGTCGTCCCGGCGTTTATCGCCACGAACGATGGAGGAGCCACTCCTGGAGCGAAACAGAGGGCAGATAATTAACATTTTATTTCACGCACTGCCTTTCAGAACCATCTCACCAAGCACTGTGTTCCTGGGAGGCTTGTTAAATTGAGTAAATATTTGAATACCCTTCCCTGCAGGATGGCCTGCAGATCTCTCCACAGAGTGCCCTCAAGGCCCAGAGTTTCCTTAAACAGATTGCTTGCTTAATTGAGTGATCAGTTCCAAGTGATCCCAATCATTAGAAATAAGTGGAGAGTAAATACTAGAATAAGACAGAATGTTTGGATAACAACTGAGTCACGATTTAACATGATTTAAAAACCAAACATTAAAGTCAGGGTCTCTGTATAACCTTGGAAGAGAACTGCATAATCTTGGTGCATTGCAACAGAATGCATGCTGTTTAACGGAGCACAGTCTTATCTCAGAAATACAGAGCAACCCAGAGTCGACAGAATTTCTGGAAATGTGACAGAATAGCCCATTTTTAAATCGATCAAACAGGATGGACTTGAGGTTTGTTTAGTTCTTTATGTGCAACAACTGACAGGTCCAACCCGTGAGTACTTGCTCTTCTGTGGGAAATGTTAATCAAATCAGCTAAGAGAATTTAGTAACAACACACGTTGCCGTAACCTGAATGATTAAATAATCAAGCTAAAACTTATTAAAAGGCATTTACTGCCACGAAAAGAACGATGGTCACCTTTGTCTTGATAAATATAAATATTTTAAGATTTGATTACTACTTTAATCCAATATGCTGGATTCCCCCAGTGTCCACTAGATGGAGCCATGCATTACTGTAAAAAACTACAGTAGCTACAACCTGAGCAAACTGTTTCTAAATATTCATGTCTTGCATTGACAAAATGAAACACAAATTAGCAGACTATAAATCTGGGAGTTAAACATGTAAAAATAAAGATCTTACTTTTTTTGGTTTTGTTCAAAACACTCCCTGTCTTCAGTGTCTAAGAATATAGCCTAACTTTCCAAATGAATCCGAGCATCCGAGAAAAAACACTACAGTACTGATAAAGCTGGAATGTTACACCATTTGTTCTTTTTAATATAAACCCACCCTTATTATAGTTACTGTTTCAATCAACGGGAACAAAAGCTGTGGTTTCTAATTTGATACAGCAGTCCTGGAGGGCTAGTGTTTGTTCTGGTTTTCAATACAACTCAGCACTTAATTCTTCACTGGACCAGTTATAGTACTGGTGCTTTAAAACCTGCAGAGACATTGGCCTCCAGGACCCAGGCTGAAGTCTACAGTGGACCCTTAGTACAGCGGTGGTTCTCAGCCCTGGTACAGAAGTCCCCCTGTCTCTCCTTGGGACCCATTGGCCTAGAGCACAGAACTAAAAGTTGATTAATTTAAGTCACAATAAAGCTCAGATTAAGCAACATGCACTCAGCTCTTACCAACAAATGTCCCCACAAAAAAGACTCCCAAAGGAACATTGATGACAGGTGAAGTGATGTTAATAAACCAGTTAGGAAGGAAAGGAGTGATTCTCAGGAAGATGATGTAATTAATAAGATGTTCTCTGTGCTTGTCAACCTGCAACAAAGAGAATAAGTACCCAAATAAGCAATTGCAGATGCAAAATTGGCAACTAACAAAGTGTTGTCAGTCACATGTTTTATATTCTTGCAACATTACGGGTCTAATGCAAAGTTTTTTCACCTTAGGCTACTAGTTTAAATTGAAAATCTAAAGTTTTAACATTTCAATACATTTTGACATAATTTACCCTAACGCTGGAATTTGGAAGCCGTTTCTGTATAATAAAAACCTCAGTAAACAGATGCAGGCTGCTCAGTGTGTGCAGTGCTGCTCTGCTGGGCCCCTGCATGATCCCATGTCATCTGAAAGCATGATGCTCTCCTTCTGCTCCGACCCCCATTAACCTGCTCTTAGCTGACTCATCCACTGAAATCACAGATTCAGGAGCAGCCAAGATTTCCTGGCACGAAGCTCTAGCCTTTCAGTCTTTATCCAAAGCTTTAGAAAGCACATCTGTTTTGTAACATTTCAACTGGGAAAATAACTGGGAAAAAAACCAACAATTCCAGAAAATGTTACCTGCTGGGACCATTTAGTTGCCTTTTCCGTTAAATATTTGTAGACCACCGGTCTGCCCACAAGATACGACAGCATGTAACAGAAAGAGGCTCCGAGGCCTGAGCACTAGGAAGAGAAGAGTCAGGGCCACAGACGCACAGACAAGGTATTAATTACTGTTAATCATGTAAATCACTGAACACAGAAATCAGCTGCAAGAATTTCATGTGCCGACCTGAAATCGCTTCAGAAGCGGGAGTGGTTGAAGGAAACGACTCCACTGCACCTCGACATAAGCTTAATCACTACTTTACGAGCTTCACTGTAATTAATTTCAATGAAAACCAACATCTCCAATACGTGGGTTTTGATGGAAGTATTTGTTCTTCAGAGACCCCAAATCAAATAGTACATTAATATTCACTGCATACACTATCCCTTGTATATCTTAATAAACAAGCTTAAAATGCTAGGACACTCAATTTTGCACATTACTTTTTAAAAAATTTAGAATTGCCAGTTACTGATTGGGAGTAGCCAATAACTAATAATAGCTCATCCAGCTCTCAGGCCAGTGCTTTTACCAGCTAGGCCACTTGAGAGTTCCCTTAGGTTTAACCCTTCTTTCACCGAGAAATTCTGTGTAAAGATGGTCAGTTCAGAATCGTTATATACTTACCCTTTAATGTTTTAAACAAAACAGCTATAAGCATTAGAAGAACACAATTTACATTTGACTCACCCACTGGATTATTTGTATAAACAGTGTTTATAAATCACTGGCCTTTCACAAAACTGCACACAAGTGAACATCTGCAGACATCCATAACTGAGATTTAAAAAGCAGGTGAAGGGGGTTTAATGCCTGCTGCACCACTTACCAGGCAAACCAGAAACAGAGCCAGTGGGAATGGGTAGAGGTATCCCGACAGGATGCTCAGGAAAATAGATCCTGGAATAGCAAATGTCTGGAGGCTGAGGCAGCAAAGTCAAGGCAACAGCTCAAAAACAGCAGAAATGCATGATTCCTGGACAACTGCTTGCAACAGAAGGAAAGCGTTCGTGCCATGAATGCAGCTCGGCCCACACCAGGACTCGAGCGTGACTTCGTGTCACAGCGCCACCCCTGAGGCGTGAACTAAAAGGGCAAGTCTCAGGCGGCTCCGTCTGTAACGGGCTCAGCGCCTGCCCGTTGAGAAGCATTCTCACTCTCTCACCACTTACTCCCAGGGCTTGTCTCCACCCCCGCGGCCATCGGTCTCCGTCTCCTGTCTCACCCCGCTTCACACATCATTTCTCAGCTTAGGTCTGGCTCCCTAATCAAACAAACATCACAAGCTCATTACCCCTAAACAGCTCTTAAACAGCTCGAGAGCAATTACCCCGTTTTATAACTGTGGCAGGTGACATTTTACCTTGTGAACAAAACTCGCTTTGTAGGTTGTGTATGAAGAAGGTCCTCTCCTACATGTAAAGCACTTCACAAATACAGTACTCAGAACTATTATTAATAAAGGAACAAGCAAAGGTTTATTCCATGCTGAAAAGTGAAGAAAAGAAACAACGTTTCGCCTGTGGAGTCTTCACTTGTTCCTTTGCAGCCTACACATGCTGATGCAGCTCCCTACTTGTATTATTAAATAACTACTAACTACAGATATCATAGTAATTCAGAACCCTCTAAGATTTGTTTGTCAGCTGTGGGCTGTATGATTATTTTGGACAACTGTGATTAAAAATGCCATGAGCTATTGTTATATAGACAGTATATTTTTAACAATATATTTTAACGTGCTTCATTGGTCACTTCAACACTTAATAGTGTCAGATTCAGAGGTCAACTATATGACTTCTGTTTTAAACGTCAAAGAAGTTTTAAAAAATTCAGCAATGCACCTGTAGACCTATACAAAATATAGACTCTGTGCTTCGAATGGAAATTCATTAGACTGACTCCAAGCCCTTCTTCAGACACAATGGGCGGGTCGTTAGTATAAAATTAACAAATAAGCTACTGGGAAATGCAATTAGATTAACAGTGAGAAACAACTTCCAGCAACTCCCAGGCTAAGCATCTCAGCCAAGGGTGTAACAATCAGAATTAATGAAAGCGTAATTCACGCGAAGAATAAATTTGGTTGTCTACAACTAATCAACCAGAAAAAAAAAGACTAGCCAAGCACTTGAATTACACCTTCAATACGACTACAGGATGTCTGTCACCAAATGAAAATATATTATCGCAATTGAAAATACCACAGTTTGGAAGCATATAATTAAAGACTGGGGACAGAAAGAAGAATATTGAAATGGGATATAAAATAAGACTGTAATATAGCCAAAGTACTATACTTAACACCGTTAGCTGAACATGTGAGAATTGTCATCACCAGGTGGCACTATGTAGCTGAAGAAAGGAAGCACGCCTGTTCTGATGGAAAACGCAACAGAATAAAACTATTAGGAAACAATCATGATGAATTTATTTCTTCTTTTAAAAAATCCCATTCAAAAAATATTTTTTATCTTCAACTTGGTGTGCTAGGTTATTTAAGACTGAGATAAAAAGTGTGATTACTGGAATTAGATGCACATCTTCTGGGCTTTTATAAAAAGAAAAGTGGCCTGTTCTCAGCTAAATATTTTATCATATTTTAATAATTCAAATGCAATAACTTAAAACAAACATACCAAAGATCAATTTGACATCATCCTGCAGGAATTGAAATGGTCACCACTAAGAAAATAAAACCTTCCGATAAAATAATTGAGAGGCAAATGCTCTCACAATAATTACCGATTTCCATTTTTTCTAAACATGATGGAACAGGCTGCCTTCAAGAAGTTCATATCTAGTGTAAAAAATCAGATCACATTCAGACAACGTCATTTGGGACTAAACTACATTTACTGTATTTGAATAATGTGGTTCAGTTATTTTCAACAGACTTCTGTGCTGATGATCAAGGGGTACAGTTGTCATTTATCGACTTATTTTGAACTAACTAGCATTACACAGGAAAGATGAGTGAGTACATCCCCAATACCAACCTTGAGACTGTCACACAAAACAGGCAATCACAGCTACAGTCACAAGTCTGCCCACAATTAATCAACTACAACCAACTGTAGTACACAGTACTCTGCAGAGATATACTGTGTTCTTTTGTGATACAGGTCCCATTTTAGCAGAAATCAGGCCCAGTTTTTTTCATAGCCTGTTTGCTGCAGCCTCTGGTCGTGTCACAGATTGTGAGGTTACAGCACAATCTTTTGACTTCTTTAAATTGAGCTGGTCACTGCAGGCTTTGCCAGCAGGGTCAGTCTCATTCATTCATCCCATTGGCCTCTCATGAGAAAGGGCAGGTCATGGGGAATGGGAAATAAAGACTTCCTCGTAATTCCAATCACAGGCTTCCTCACTTCAATCTTTGACTGAACATTTAACACCCCAAAAAGGGACTACTTTTCTGATCCAGAATTTACAGCTATGGAACACGGCTATGCAGCAGTCAACTCCACAGTGCTTTCCATTACATTCTGTGGAAAAACCACCCCGGATCCAGCTCTTAATTTCAAAGCAGCATGTCATGATGTATTATCAAGAGCAGACGCTATCCAAAATGTGATAAAGGTGTGAAGTGCAGAAACAATGTTCTCCCGACCTCTTAAAGATAATGTGCATGCTTCTCAGAAGTGCTGCCAGTGATTGTGAATCTGCAAATCGTGTTCACAATTTCATTTACCAGTTCCTGGTTCAATATACCTGGATGCACTTTTACGGAGCGATGTTCAATGAATTTATTATCATTTCAAATTATTCTGCTTAATGCAAATGATCTTTGCCAATAATAGATTTAGTTACACATCCATTTTGATGCATAACTGCACTGCACATATAAACCGCTTGCTTCATGGCTTTATCACATTGATTTTTATGATTCATTTAAATTAAGGTTCAAAATGCGCAGTTAAACTGCAATAAACTGAAATCATTTTAAAATGTCTTTTTTAATTCAATTGATCTTAGCCTTAACAAAAACATCTTTCTGCTGTCTCGTGTGCACAGAATTACCCATGATTACATTTTTAACAAGGATGTGTTTTTTTTAAGCAGGCCAGATACCAAAACCAAATCTACTAGTTACCAACATGTCCCCAAGGCCCTCCTTTTGGAACAGAATTTTTTTCAGCCTCCATCTACAGTTTTGTGGGGAGAGTTCTAGAAACTGCACTAAATCCCTCAGTTACAAAAACTACTGATGAACCTCTGAAGTTAATTTTCGGTTCAGTAGCTCTTTGCAAAGAGATTATCTCACAACGAAAGGGGGTTCCACTAATCTTCTCTTTGCATCATGCAATTGGTTAACTCAGCACCACACTGGCATTCACAAAAGAACAAAAGGCTCTGAGCTTTACCCATCCCCCACAGTGCTCCCCCCAGCCTTTCTTAAATCACATCTCCTGCTGAGCTGCTCTTCTCACTAATGGCCCCAAGGCTAGCATCTCCCCACTTCACGAAGTCACAGCCTCTTGTCTTGTCGTCCACTGCTAACATCAGCCAATCTTCCAGCTACTTCTTCGTCTGTCACAGTACTCAACTCAAATCAAATCCTGCCTTCCCTCTTCTTCATAAGTCTTCATAAATCCTAAAATCTCCACTTCCTTTGTAAATCCTAGTCAGAAAATGTTCGGTTTAGTTATAGCTTTCATTGTGCATCCTGCAGTAAATGGACTTCTATTAGAGGAGAACACTGGTGAAAACAAACACAGCTAAGTGACTGTTTCCTGTACAAGGTTATCAGATTAATGCAAAGATAATGCAATATGGGCAGAATGAGATGTGTGCATGTGTACATGTCTTGTTGCATGGCTAGAAATATTGTTTGTTTTTAAACGTGTATTTATTTTATGTTGAGTTGTGTTTTTTTTTAAGTTTTTATAATGATGCCAAAGACAAATTTCCACCCTTTTGGATGGACAACAATGTTATATAAAGATAAAGAAGCTAAAATCTGAAGAAAAAAATATTTGCTCAAAGATGTGAAAATCATCTTTTTTTATTAAGAGGAAGAAATCTCCCCTTAAGTAGAGAATTAAGATAAAAAAACAATATGTTTAAATGTCATGTCATTTGCCAAACCGCTCTATACCACATGGTGTTGCAGGAAGCCGGAGCCTACCCGGCAAGCAACGAGCACAAGGCAGGGTACACCCTGGACAGGGCGCCAGTCCATCACAGGGCCAGTGCAAGCCACTCATACATGGGGACAATTTGGAGGTCACTGTAAAGGCCGAGGGGGGAAATTTGGCCCTGACAGCGGGGTAACTCCCTACTCTCCCTACCGAGAAACGCCCGGGGATCTTTAATGACCACAGAGAGTCAGGACCTCGGTTTAACGTCTCATCTGAAAGACACCGCCCACTACAGTATAGTGTCCCCACCACTATACCAGGGCACTAGGGCACACACAGACCGCAGGGTGGGCGCCCCCCACTGGTCCCACTAACACCACTTCCAGCAGCAACCATAGCTTCTCAGGAGGTCACACATCTGGGTACTGACCAGGATCAACCCTGCTTAGCTTCAGTGGGCAGAAGAAGGCTCCACGGCCGAAACGTTGTTTTCTCTTTCTTCTTTTTTTCAGCATGGAATAAACCTATTACTTGTTCCTTTGCAGCCTACGCATGCTGACGCAGCTACCCACCTGAATTATTATTATTATTATTATCATCATCTGTCTGGCATTTTATTAAAAACAACTTTCTCTGGTGCTCATTTACTCCAGAGTGCAACCCACTAATACACACAACCATCTCCATTTGCTGGGTGTCTGAGATTAAGTCATAGTGCCGTGAATTTATACATTCAGAAATTAAGCTAATTCAGCAGAGAATCCATAATCACACAATTTAAAAAGTCTCACTTTCTATTCAGAAACAATCTCGTACTGAAACAACAAGTACAAATGCTGCAACCTCTAAGTCACACTCTGTACTGCGTTTCTATTGTGTCCACTAGTGTCCTTATTACAGTGGGAGTCAAGGCCACGCTGCACTCCTACACACGGGCAGCCAGGCTGAGAACAACTTGTTTCTTCGAGTAGAGCCTCAGATGGTATCTCACTGCCTTCCTGTTAGTTGTGGAACAGTGGCACTGCATATCTTAGTAACCACCCTGTAAATGTTTAGCCAGATAAACTAGATGATTGATCTAACAGACTTTAAAACAGCTTTTTAACTCAGGCAGGTAAAGTCCATCTCTGAGGCTAGTGACTCATTGGGTCAGAGTTTTTCCTGGGTTCTGCTGCTTTAAACCGGCCAAGAATACATGACCCCCTAAGGAATGGGATGCTGGTCCATCACAAAGTTCCCCTCAGCAATTTACCTGGATAAATTGCTGAAAATTGCTGGGAAAAACTAAGGTTGCTGCTGGAAGAGGTGTTAGTGGGGCCAACAGGGGGCGCTCACCCTGCTGCTCATGTGGGTCCTAATGCCCCAGTGTACTGACGGGGACACTATACTGTAAACAGGCGCCGTCCTTCGGATGAGACGTAAAACCGAGGTCCTGACTCTCTGTGGTCATTAAAAATCCCAGGGTGTTTCTTGAAAAGAGTAGGGGTGTAACCCCGGCATCGTGGCCAAATTTCCCCATCGGCTGTTATCAATCATGGCCTCCTAACAATCCCCCTCTGTGAATTGGCTTCATTACTCTGCTCTCCTCCCCACTGATAGCTGATGTGTGGTGAGCGTTCTGGCGCACTATGGCTGCCGTCGCATCATCCAGGTGGATGCTGCACATTGGTGGTGGTGGAGGGGAGTCCCCATTACCTGTAAAGCGCTTTGAGTGGAGTGTCCAGAAAAAGCGCTATATAAGTGTAAGCAATTATTATTATTATTATTATTATTAAATTGGAGCAACTAGGAGAAAGCAGGTTGGTCAAGGGTTTAAGAAACGGGGACTGAGCTGAAGCTCAAAGACCTAACCACTTGTCTAAGGGGCCTCTTACTTTATTGTTAACTTTCTGACAAAGGATACAAGACATAAGTGGCGAAATATGCTACCAGCACTTGAGTGTAGTAGGTGTCTTTGTATTTTGACAGCACTGTTCCTAGTGCTTTAGCGTCATCCATGTCTTTGGGGATTTTCATCTTCTCCCGCTCATCACTGTTGAGGAAAGAGAAAAGAAATCTGCCTCTGCAGCTCACAATAACCATGTAAAAAGGATTTTCAAATGAGCACAAAACATTGGTATTGTTTGCCTTGCTCCTAAACCCTTTTTGGTGCATAAGCAGGATAACACACAGGTGTCAGAGCCAAAATAATCCAACAGGACATCAACACACGTTAAATTACAGCCTCATGAGAAAAGGCAACTTGCTGAAAAGTGATTCTGTAACAATCTACCAGAATTTTAATGATGTATGTTGCTGCATATACTCTAAATTAGATTTTTTTTAATACTGCTTTTTGATATCTGTTCTCCAAAGATCTGTCCCATGCTCACACTGAATTTATTTAATTTTAATAGTGTAAAAAAAGACATTCAACACATGGAACTTTAGACTATGCAGAAAGTCATCCATTAAAAAGAGGAAGGAAAGAATCTTACTCGCTCAGTTCCGGGAAATTCTGGTACACCATGTACATGACTGAGGCAGCACACAGGAAGATGGACACTAAGATAAGGAGGGACATGCGGGCTGACCCCCCTTTAGAAGACAATTGTCCTGGAGAGAAAGAGACCTTATTAGAAGTAGTTCAGGTGGGTAGCTGCGTCAGCATGCGTAGGCTGTAAAGGAACAAGTAATTGGTTTATTCCATGCTGAAAAAAAGAAGAAAGAGAACACAACGTTTCGGCCGTGGAGCCCTCTTCAGCCTTCTTCCACACCTGAAGAATTTGTTCCAAATCTCATCTTAAAAGCATTATGCTTTCTTCAACTTCAGAAGCACAACACTCAGGGGAATATTACAATGAATTCATAAAATACCCACAACAACAACATCCTGTCCCTTCACTTTTTCTTATCACTGTGCGATTTTCCCAGCATAAGAGAACATCCTGAGCCAAACGGATACGCTACATTGTACGAAAAATCATCTTGTGACTTTGCAGTGATTAAAAGCTTGTTGCATACACAGTGATGTGTTGACTGTTGGGAAGCACTAACGATTTATCCAGATCTTGGCAAACATATGCAGAGACCCAAAAACAGGACTGTCCAGTTTTAAGGGGTGGCCTGACAGGTTGCTTCCAAATAGCAACAACAACTACATTTTCTGACAAAACTGGGCATCAGAGACATGATTATAGCAACCAAGCTCACCCACAATGGAATGGCCATGACTCAACATCACTGTACTTTGTGACTGCAGTGACTTCGAAAGCAATTATAGTAATACAGATGCTGAAAAAGGATGATGTTCTCAGACGAGCCCAATTGTTTACACATGCTGAAATCATCCTGGACAGCCACAACTTCCAGAATAATTTTAATGTAACGTTTGTTTTGGGGCGGCGCTCCGAAAGTATTTCAGCAGGCTTATACTTTGTGTTTTCTAGAGTTATTTAAAATAAAACAATATAAATGGTAAACATGTATTACAAGAATAAACACAGTGCCCTTCAGATAAAAACTGTAAAGAACCTTGAACCAAATAATTGCATGTGTGCTTCTGCACAGCGCGCTGTATAGAAACGCAACAGCTTACTGAGCTTTGCATCACCTGCTCTCACCTTTGGGAGTCATTAACATGTTGTCACCAGAGGACACCAACAGCTCACTCCAGCATTAATGGTACAGTAAATGAGTGAAGTTATTTAAAAGCACAATTTGGGACCACTGTAGAACAACTGTGCTTCTGACTGTTTGTGTCTGCCCCAGCCGGCAGGTTCCACAAGTAATATGTCCTTTATAGATTTAACAAAAAACAGACATTCAAAAATAGTTTCCCTCTATACTATCACAAGACAAAATACCCTTTATCGTCAGCTGCAGCTAATGGATATCTCCTACACTTCTGTTATATCACATGTTTAGGATGACTGCAGACCAATGGAATCAAAGCTGTGTTGCTTCATTTCCTATTACCACATTCATTAATTACGTTATTACATTATTTCCTTTTCGTGCTGATAATGATACATTTATCTACTGCATGTGAGTCCGACGTTTAGACCTAACTCTTATCAGTTTTCTCAGCATATAACTATAAAGGTTTATACTCGAACATTTCTTTAAATTATAACAGCGTGCGTTTCCCAACAGAGCCTTTGCCCCCTACCAGATATCTAACTCAACTACAGTAACTACCGTCATCTAAACCAACAGTTCCTTCACGACATAACCATTAAACAATATCATCGGTTACTGGGAGATGAAAGCTCACCTGCTTGACGTGAAAAACGAGTGACTTTTTTCGGTCTTGGTGTACATTTTGCCAGAAGTGAATAAATACAGAGCAGTAAGCATTTTTCTATTCAACACTATACTAGAACAAATATCTGTTACTACAAAAAACTCGATTTAGGACTATGATGTAATCTCGCAACCTCTCGATTTACGCTGAAAACGTCTGGTTAAGCGCCCAGATAAATAAATACAAAATCCCACGTTTCCCTTGGGTTCTACAGTGTAAACCATGAAGTTGAAAAAACATAAGACATGCAGCATATGGAAATTGATTAGGATTTGATAAATGTTAATCGCCTTATGTCCGAAATGTGAATATCGTAACACTATACAGAAATGACTTTGAAAACGCGCATTTTCAAATGCTAACCGAATTACACTGTGAACTGTCCCTCTCTATTTCACTACCTTTAATGGTTTCTCCCTGTTTTTCTTTTCTTTCTTCATCCAATAATGATTCTGGCGAATTGCCGTCCATCTCTGGCTTGTCTCTTCGCTTCTTGGCCATTTTCGGCTAAGGAAAAAGCACACTACGACTTAGGAAGCTTTGAATTTTCTTCTCTAAATCAGGTTTCCAGCGAGGCGTGTTAAAAAAAAAACCAATTTCTCTCTATGAAGTTCAGCCCGGCTCCTGACCGGTGACAGATCAGTGACCTTTTACCTTTCGCACTGTCATCAGCAATCTTTCAGATCGAGGCAAGAGAGTCCCCCCCGGAAATCACCCCGCCGAATTCACACAGCGCCCCCTGCAGGTGCCAGCCGGCCCGTCTCCATCCCCTCGTCCAATTCCACTCGCTTTTCCCGGTGAGGTTCGCGGTCGGTCGTTAATCATTAAGGAAAACACTGAGATAATCAATAACTTAGTATTAATGTGAATGTATCTACCATTCATACTATTTTTATACGATTGATCATGAAAACATGTATTAATAGTCGCATTATTGGTAATATTAAGGAAAACATAAAATATGATATATTGTACGCATGGCTTGTCTAACGAAGCGTAAGCAATCTCAGATCTTACAATAACTTCTGAACACTACGATAAGTTATAGTTTTTCAAGAACACGAAATCGTGGTGTCTGTGTCGTGATATTTAGGTGCAGTACCTTAATAAGTCGTTTTGTATTCATCCATAATAGGATTTGTCATGCGATGATTTACAGTTGGTTTTTATACGTTTAATATGGACTTAAAAGTTTCTTGACATCTCAATGTTGGTGACATTTGTTAAAAGTGTAACCGACCAGAGTGTTATGTGCTATTCCGTCACCATAGCTGGCAGTAAAACTCCAACTCCCAGGATGCACGGCGCCAGAAGCGGAAGTGTCCTGTGCTCAAATTGGCGCTGATCTATCCGGGTCCTACGTTCGTCTCTTCCTTTCGCGCCGGTAGCTGAAGAACAGCGCGTCCATGTGCGCATCGATTGGGACTTCATAGTTCACAGAACCCACCGAAACCGAGCCATAACCGAACTTAGACATGGATCCGAACTCGCTGATTGAGGCCCTGCGGGGTACCATGGACCCCAACTTGCGGGAGGCCGCCGAGAGGCAGTTGAGCGAGGTAAGGCGGTGGGGCCGGCGGAGCGGGCCTCACGGTGAGATCGGTACGGGGACCTGCCTGTGAGGGAGGAGAGGGTCCGGGCGGACGGGACAGGGAGGGATTGGCCGCCGGCTGAAAGGCCGAACGAGTTTTCTGGCGTAGCCACCACAAATCATTTTAGAAATACAATCTGTTATCTGAAAACGTCACCGCTGACACCATTTACGCTTCACGTCCTAGTGTAATGCCAGGTCACGGCATGATTGACTGGATTCTTCGCTTTCACCCCTCCCGCTTGCTTGAACGGGTTTTTTTTTTTTTTTTAAAAAAACAAAGCTGCAGTGTTTCCATCTCGGATCTGTTTCTTGTGTGGTCGTAACTTTGATTGTTGACGATGGCGTCGCCTATTTTAGACAGATGTTACTAAAGTTGCCGAAAGTGAAACGGAGCCCTGCGTTCGCCGTTTTCGATGGCTTTATTCCCGATCTAGTCGGAACATCCCAACTTTTCTCCCTGTGACGTTGAAGTGGGAATGGTGGCAATATTCTGGGAAGAACGCAGTGGTCCCTGAAGGAAATCCGTTGAGCAACACCGGGATCTTTTCCCCCATAGGACCTGATTTCCACCCACCCCCCCGGACAGAGGTCGTGGACGCGGTTGATAGTTGATTTCGACTGTATCGTGGTTACCAGCTTCCCGACCCCCGGGGCTCAGGCTCAGAATAACGCGTTCATATTTTTAACAGCACGTATGAATCACAACTGTTTTAGTGCGTCGGACGCCTGAAAGGTCATAACGTCCAACAGTTAGTCACAGCGCTTGGTGCGCAGATCCACGGGATTCTGTTTAAAAGAATAAAAACAACTCCATTTAACAGCTGGGCACCTGGAGATCAATACTTGCAATCCTCTGTGGAGGATCAAACCGTTCGTTTATATGAGGGTGCTGGTTTAATTTAGCCAAACGTGTAAGGTAGGTGGATGTTGGAGACATTTCAGATTGTTGAAAGGATGCAAATGCCCTATGTTGAAAAACTACTTTATACCACCACCAGCTTTAGAAATATTGCGTGTGGTTGCTGTTGAGACAGTTGTAAAACTCTTGGAAAGACCAGGCATCAAACTATGGATAGGTCAGGCTGCAGCCCTTGTACAAACATAGTGCCTTCTGTTTTACTTGCTTAGCTGAGGTTGGCTAACATACTTCCACTTTTTTCTGTCCATTGATGAGCTCAGGCTGCCAGTATAAACTGCAGTCCTGAAGGACCTCTTCCACAGAAAGCTTTCATAGATTTACAAGCTTGTAACCACCGCTTGTGATTATAGATCTGAGACTTTCTGAGCACAGACTTCAGAGAGGCTAAGAGTTCCACCTCCAGATCTGAGGCCTGGTTACCACAAACATTAACTGCAAGAACTGAGTAAACAGGGGTTCGATAAGGTGGGTTTTTGCTTTTGTTTCAGTTCTTTGCAAGGAGCAGACATGCAAGTGGCTATTATACTTTGGTTTTCCTGGATTTTGATTGGATCAGAATGACAGACATTAATGCTGACCAAATGAAATTCTGAAAATGCATTCTGATCTCTCCCTATGAAAACTGTTAGTCCTTTACTGTACAGGGGCATGGTGTAGCAACTGTCTCGTGCAAAACTCCAGACAGCTCCTCAATGCACAGCTGTTGGGACTGACTTTATTAAAATATCTTTGCACGTGGCTGTGTATTGAACTGCAAACTATAATTAATAAGAATGTTAGCATGCTAAATAGTGTGGATGTTTAACTAATAAATAGGGTTTATGAATACATTCTAACAGTAGAACATGGGGGGTGTATATGAGAGATCAATGGATGTTTTTAGTCTCTGAAGAAAGATGAAAATTAAGTGTTTTTTAATTTTAGATAAACTGACACTTGTGATCATTTTTTCTCCTGGACCGCCTGCAGTCACAGGACGTGCAGTGTAAAGAGAACAGAGGAAGCATTATGTTGTGGTAGATTTACAGCATTCATTCTATAAGTCAGTGGAATTATACAGACTTTGTCTTCGATGAATTATAGCTTTTCTTTTTTAGATCAGCTTTTCTGGGCCAGGAAGGACAATAAGATTCATGGCCTTTGGGTATCCAGGGAATAGCTGACTTAAGATGAGTCCACCTGTAACTACACGGAACAAAATGGTTCACGCCAAGTTGCATGGATCACTGCTCCTTTGACAGATGAAGGGCCAGCCTGCATCTGTTTTAAAATGACCAGAACATCTTCAACCGCCAAAGTCATAAGAACACCTTCTCTTCAGGTGTCAGCGGTCCAAACCTTTTGCTTTTCTAAATGCATGTCAGAAGGTTTGTCACACACTGCTTTCTGTGACAGGTGCTCCTTTTCGTTCGCCTCGTCTCTCTGCGCTGGGAGCCGCATGGAGAAATCTGCCTGAAAGACAAGTGGCAGTGGTTTCTGTCGCCGAGGGAAACTCCATTAAGGCCATGAGGGAACTGCGTGCCAGTTGATTGATGCTAACAGAGAGGACACACAAGTGCGAGAGAGGGGGCTGGCGGGCCTCCAGCCAGGGGGGCGGGGGGGCTGGAGGCCTGAATTCTTCAGTGCTGACACTCTCCCTAGGAAAGCTACACCAGTGACGCTGCATAATCTCGGGCTGCCCTTAAAACCTGAAGACATCTGAAGGCTTTTACTCATGTAGTCCCAGTGGTTAGATGTTGTAAGGAAAAGGTTTCTGTCAATGCTCACACTGGATGTTTTTCTCTAATTGTTTCAGTTTTTTTTAAAGCACCCATAGTTAAGATTGAAGGTTTTGTCAGGCTTGGCACCTGACTTTGAGTGCCCCTACCTGCTGGGTTTTAAAGTCACGTTTCTCTAGACATGCTTTCTCTGCTGAGGCGCGTGCAAGAGAATGAAGCATTTGTATCCCAATCAGTGAGGAATTCAAATAGGAACCAGTCTGGCAGTGGCCTGTTTAAAAAAAAAAAAAAAACAACACACCTTTGAGAATTTGATTTGTGTTCTATAGAGGAAAAGCAGTGTTTTCAGGTTCTTAAATTCTGAGGATATAAGTGATTGGGTTTACATAGCACTTCAGCAATAAAGACAAACCTATGTAAAGCCATTTGTCAGCTTTGCCTGTATTCTAAATAGGCGCTTCCAGGGTAGGAGAAAATCCTTTCTATTTCAAACATCTGTCTCGTCCCAGCAGAGCAGAGTGCAGCTGTGACACAGATCATGTGGAATGTGACACTTAAGTCCTCCGAGAGAGCTGTTTTGTTAAAGATTACAGTAATACCGCATGAAAATGTCCAAATGAGATGTAAAAACTGGTATTGCGTTGAAGAGCTCCACTAGTGTACGGTTTAGTACAGGAAACCCTTTTCTACAGCCACAAACCTAAAATAAAATGTAACAGTTTGACCCCTTTCTGACTCCTTGTCACTTAACTTTTCTGCATAAATTAATTATGGAGCGTTGAGTCACGTATGAAAACTAAACAGCTTGTTATATTGGCAGCCAGGTTTAATGTGTTGTGAGACAACATCAAAAGGTTCAATTTAACTCTTATACACATTCAGTAGAAGGGCATATGAAAATGAATTTCATTGCTATTTCATAAGCTGCTGTAATATTTTAAGTATGATGTGTGAATAATTTCCATACAGCCGCTCTTCAGTAGTTCTTCTAAGGTAGACAGTTGGGAGTATTGGTGCATTATCCACCATTGTCATTCAAAACAAAGGCACTCTAGATTGTCTTTTTAGTTAATGTAAAGGGACTTGCTCTGCAATAATGCCTCATATAGGTACCTGATCTTGTTTTGCATTTTGAAGTAGTGTGTTGACTGTCATCTCGATTCTCTTGTGTAAGAAGAAAATGAATCTTGGCCTCTTGCATCTGGCCAGTAGCTTGACCTTTATTCTTCTCGTTTCGATCGGCAGGGTCACAGCCAGGTGAATTTCGTCTCCACGCTGCTCCAGGTCACCATGTCCGAACAGCTGGACCTGCCCGTCAGACAAGCAGGTGAGTTTCATGCCCTAGATTGTTGTCTGTCTGATGGACTTGAATGCCTTGTGGTGCGAATCTGCAGTCCTCTCCAAAACCCTGCAAAATGGGCTTTTCCAGGAAGCTGCTGGTAGTAAGAAACACAGCACTGCTTCCTTTAAACCCTTCTCCTTATCACGCTACACCTCCGGGACAATCCCATGTACGATTCTCGCTATAGAGGGGCAAGTCCTGTCACACTTTGAGCCTCATACAGACTTGGGTTTATTTCTGCTAGTTCCTAATGCAGAACTCCGGACCGCTCCAAAAGTGATTGGAATTGATTGGTCAGTTCGGTGTTGGTTCTGAGCCGAATTTCTGAATTTCAGACTGAATTAACCCGTGTTAACTGTGTTATAATGAATGCTTAAGAAAATACCTTATTAAAGACAGTTGTTTCTCACAAAGTGAAAGCTCCACTGCATGTAGCTGTTCCGATACCCTTTTATGTCTGCTGTTGAAATTCCGTAATGCAGGAAGTGGCTGTAACAAACAGCACAGTAGGATGGTAAGAAGTGCGCTCTGGAATTGCTAGCTTAGTCAGACCAACAGCTTCAGGTCTTTTAGAAACAGGACTTCTATTTTTGATTTTTTTTGTTTGTTTTCAGTATGCTATTTTTTTAACTCTCCATTGTATGACCTGCATGAGGATTAAGAGATAATGTGCTGTCTGGAGTTCTTTATTGCAGACCTGTATTGTCAGTGAATTGTTGACTGTTTAACATGGCTCTAGGCTGTGAGTTTTTAAAGTTGCATACTTTTTGAAAACAATTTCAGCTAAAGATCTAAACAGGATGGCTGAGATCATCCGAATTCGCTTTATTGCAAATAAAAAATCAGATGCATTATCTCAATCTGATGTTCCAAAGCATTCATAATAAATTTAAACATTAAACAAAAAAGCCAAAACAATAAATAAATCACAAAAAAATGGATTTGCGTGTAAAAATTAGTTACCTTGTAGGCCATGGAGTCAGAAGTACAAATCCTATGATTCCCCTCTTCTGTCAATTACAGCTATTTATTGAGCAGTGCATCTCGTTTCATTTTACAAAGCATTAAAAAAGCTTGTATTGACCTTCTGGTGTAGCAGCACTTACCAGGTGCATTTAAGCCTCATGATGCGCAAAGTTGTGACACAGCAGATTGTGGCAGAATTGCTTGCATATCTTCTCTCTACAGGAATGGAGCAATCCTTGCTTCACATTGATTGTATACATATAGAGTTCTCTGCAGAATCTCTTCGTAGGCATTAGTACTGCTGGCGTCTATGTAGGCCTGTCTCAAGCCTTGAGTGTGCAGGCCACTCTGTCAGTGGTGGTCCTCTGTGAATGAGGCTTGGTCACATCAAACAATCATGTGTTGAAGGTGCTGCCTGTATTTAGGTGGACCCTGACTCAGCAGTGGAATGACACTTCAGGATGTAGGTTTGATCTGAACTCGGGTGTTTTGTGCTTCACATGTTCCTAATCGGCAAAATGTTGATTGCAAAAGCACCCTTTATGGCTAAACCATGATTGTGGGGTCATTTCATTGTCCATGTAGGGGACATTCCTGACGTCCGTGGTTACATATAATTGAAAGAATTTTAAACAAATGAATGGTGAATTTGACGTAGCTATTGTTTGTTTCTTTCATTTGAAAGGTCAAAACGCCTTATTTTTTAAGTGTATCCCTACTGCATACCGCAGCCAAGTGAATTATTTGGAGTCCAGGAAAGATTTCTGATCACCTGTGTGGGTGAGATTTTACTGCCATGACAAATTTCAGATCTGTAGCTTAGAGAAGAGAAAAGGATGCCAGGGCTTTTAGAGTTGCTGATTGGATATGGGGATAAAACTGACATGTCTTTTTTTTTCCTCATTTATTTCAATTGAAGCAGATCGGTTAAGCGTGGAGCTTTGTATTCTAGGTTTGTGCTGTCTCAGTAGTTTGAGTCTGGATTATTGGAGCCATGATGTAGATCTGTGTCAGCAGTCTAATGTCTGCTGTTAGGCCCAATGATCTGTGAGGCTCTTCATTGTGGTCCCACTGAACAATTTACACTCCCCTGCCACGATCACAGCTACTAGGATGGAGGACATGGTCACATGCGAAGCCAGTTCAATGTGGTTCAGCACTTATTTTTCAAAGAAAGCATGGTTTGAGTTGATAACATCAGCTTTTACCACTAACATCTTCTGGTTCTGATGGGGAATGGGCTTGCTGTCACCCTTATGAGAATAGCTGTGAATTTGTGAGACTGAACTGCTGGTGAAAGTTTAAAAAAAAAAACGTTGGACCCGGATCTCAGACTGTGACATAAAATTTCTGAAACTCTGTATGAACCATGGGTTTGAGAGGCAGAGTAATTGGCTCCGTTACATTTAGTGTCGCAACGTTGGATTCTTCTGCTGTGTGTAAAGACCCAGACTTGTCTGGTGATATCATTCAGACATGCAGCGACAGTAATTAGAGATGCGCAGCCAGGGTCAGCGAAAGCATGCTCATCACTGCGCCGATGATTCTGTGTTACTTTTCCCTGGCGCACTGCAGAGCAAAAGCGCGTTGGTAAACAGGCTAAAAGGGGCCAAAAGTAAATTTGTGTCTTTTGTTGGAGGTATTTTTCCTCTCGTGAACAACTGCAACCGTTTTTTATAATGAGATGTAAGGCACGTCGCCTGCTTCTCTTCGGTGGTTCCCAGGTGTGGAAAGACAGAAGTGGGGCTTCAGGGTGATGGGGGGGCACGCCTCGCGGCTCTTTCCACCAGCGGGGTCTGCCGGGGCAGGGGCTCCCCCGGGCTGACCGAGAGCTCGCTCTGTTTCAGGGGTGATCTACCTGAAGAACATGGTGACGCAGTACTGGAGCGAGGGGGAGGGCACCAGCGGAGAGGCCCCCGCCACCACCATCCCCGAGGAGGACCGCCAGTTCATCCGGGACAACATCGTGGAGGCCATCATCCACTCGCCTGAGCGCATAAGGTCAGCCTGTCCTGTTCCTGACCGGCCTCGCGTTCCTCAAGTGGCAGCTGAGCAGCATAAGGCAGAACATTATTCAGGTGGTGCCTCCTGGGTAGAATGAAGGCTGATCCTGACTCGGGAGATCTATTTTTTTAAGTTTTTAGCTTAACATGCAGATGTAAGCTTTTGTATTGATTAACCATTGTTTTGTGGGAGACGCTGAATGAGTGATTAAATGGATGAGAGTAGAATATATTTGTCCCCTGTGATCACGTTTGAGTTTTTTTATATTGGTCTTCATCACATGTAAAATCTGAAATGGTTAATCAAACAACCCTCGTGTTGTGCAGCAGGCTGAGGGTGATGGCAGTGCTTAGGTGTGTATTTCCACAGCAGTATCATTATTACTACTCCAGAGCCCCTCCTGCCCTGAACAGCTTAAAGTGTATATAAGTTTGTTAATCATAATTGAATTCGTTGGTGGTTAATGGTGTGGCACAGATTTGCATTTGCAAACGTTTTTGACTTCGAGTGAACTGGATGGATGAATCTCGCCTTGCCACTCTAAACAACTGCCCTTGTCCTGAAAGATTGTTCTGCGGTTTATCACGCAGGGTGCAGCTCACTACTTGCATTCATCACATGATCAAGCACGACTACCCTGGCAAGTGGACTGCGATCGTGGATAAGATCGGTTTCTACCTTCAGTCCGACAGCAATGCTTGGCTGGGAATCCTCCTGTGCCTCTATCAGCTGGTGAAGAACTACGAGTAAGAGGTCCTTTCTGTAATGCAGCTGGAAGAAACCAGTGGGGAAATGAAAGTTTTAATTAAATCTTATTATATTGTGCATTTGAGGTCATCTAATCAGCAGTTTATACATTACTTATACATTAGCTACTTTTTTTTCTCCAAATTCCTTCTTCTCGTTCCCCTGTTGTAAAATACAGCGGGTTTAAAAATAAAGAATCCCCTGTATTGTATGTTAAGCCATTTTGAATCTGAAATCATTTACTGCTGGTCTTTTCAGTTCCTTTGAGTTAAGAGTGTCTGTTTTTCAGGTATAAGAAGCCGGATGAGCGGAGTCCACTGGTAGCTGCAATGCAGATTTTCATGCCCATGCTGAAGGATCGCTTTATCCAGCTCCTCCCTGACCCCTCCAGCCAATCTGTGCTCATCCAGAAACAGATCTTTAAGATCCTGTATGCACTTTTCCAGGTACTGATACTGTACTTTGCTCTGGAAGAGTGTGGACACTTGGGAGTCAACAGTTGTTTCCTGAGTGATGATATCGGAGAAGAAGTGTTAGAGGCTGTACCAGATGTGTAGGGGGGTTTATTTTTGCTTGACGTACGTTAAAATTAAAATCATTTTCACTCTGAAAATATCTGAGTCGCACATCTCTGTGCTATGAACCAGGGGCTTGTGCCAGCAGATGAAGAGTGGCCATCTGTTGAGCTGAGTAAAGGGAGGGAATCTGTTAAGTTGTCTTGCACAGCACTGTTTCACTGTTAAAACTGTTCTGTGCATCACGAGGATGGGCTGTGTCTCACGTGGGTGAATAAAGCAACAGAGAAGCAGAGTTTACATTTCTGTTACAAAGGGAGATTTAGATCTTCCTTATTTCAAGTTCAGACATATTTTACTCCCACGGATCTTGATTTAGCTGTTCATCCGTGGAGCTTGCCCCAGTTAGGCGAGATCAGAACGGTTCTGTAGGATGATTGCTTCGGTTCCGTGTGCCCCCAGTACAACCTGCCCTTGGAGCTGATTAACCAGCAGAACCTGACGGAGTGGATGGAAATCCTCAAGACGGTGGTGGACAGAGATGTGCCTGCAGTGAGTACAGCACAGAGACCACTGTACTGTTTAATGTTAAGAACATTCAGATCTTTATGTAAAATGTACCTTCTATTCAAATCGTCAAAGTGATAGAAATATAGAAAGAAGATGTTAAAGTATGAGATTAATCAGTGATGTTTGAGGGCACAAAAATCCATACTCCTCTGTTATTTCTTTACCTCTGACCCACACAGGAGACCCTGCAGGTGGACGAGGACGACCGACCTGAGCTCCCCTGGTGGAAGTGCAAGAAGTGGGCTCTGCACATCCTGGCTCGGCTTTTTGAAAGGCATGCCAGCTCTTCTCCTTTGTGTACCATCCCCCCCCCCCTCACAGGGGGAGAGCATAGGACCCCTTTTCACTTGACTGCTAGATGATGCACACTTTTAAGCTGCTAGTTTAACACTAGTTTCGGGGGAGGAATTGTGTGCTCATGGTCTCTGTTGGAGAGACTGCCCACCCCCTGGTTCCCACTTTGACCCAACCTTTCGCTTTTGCAGGTATGGCAGCCCAGGTAACATCTCCAAAGAGTACACCGAGTTTGCCGAGCTGTTCCTCAAGGGCTATGCTGTTTCTGCTCAGCAGGTAGTAGTGTGAGCCGTTGCTCTGTTGTGCATGACGTCCCTCTCCACTGTTCCCGACTGAACCCTGTTCTGTGCTGTCTTACAGGTTTTATTGAAGGTCTTATATCAGTTTAAGGAAAAGCAGTATGTAGCTCCCAGGGTGCTCCAGCAGACGCTGAACTACATCAACCAGGGCGTTGGACACGCGCTTACTTGGAAGAACCTCAAACCACATATCCAGGTATGTAATGAATTCACCTGTAGCTGCAGAGACATAAAGGTGAGATTTCTCTATCTCAGTGTGTTCTGTCAGACATACCAGGAATTGGTGGTTGTCTGATTCTCTTCAGAATGTTGATTCTATAATCCAGGACAAACATTATTCTCAACTGAACAGCATTCTTCTTCTTTTATTATGCAGTTTCTGACCATTGTTTTATTTAAGATTAAATCACATTTTGGACCTGCTTACCAAGCAACAAAACCAGCCTGTGTGCTGGAGGCCTCTTGTCTAACGGGTGAAAAGCCACTCATGTGATGAGTGTGTTGCTTGCAGCTTGCAGTGGGAGGCTTGTTTAAATCCAGACACTCGAGTTCACGTGCTGCTGTTTGTCATGATTCTTCAGCTGTGCCATACAAATGTAGCCTTTTTCCCCCACAAGAAGGTTCATTCCAATATTTTTTCCAAGTAGTATGATTTTTTTATCAACTCTAGTCTTGTTTTTTTTGTAACAGATTTAACCATGCATAATTGGTTTGATCTGAATAAATCCAAATTAATAACCTCAGCCGTTAGTAATCGTATTTTAAGCAGCGCATGAAAGTACAAGTTAGTGACACTGAACACTAATTACCTCTGTAATTTGACTAACCCCAGCGCTGCTGTTGTGAGGGGATTAAGGAACCCTGGCTGGGGGCAGCCTGTGTGCGTGGTGACAGTCCATGTTAAGTGTTGCTGTTTGCCTGTGTCCTGCAGTCTGACAGCAGTGCTCACACAATGCCTGCAGCCACAGAGAAACTGGAGATCATAGTACTGGTCTAGTGACGTCTCCAAGACAGCGCCAGCACTGGCCAGCCTCCATACTCTCCCACAGCTCACGTGCATTACCTCTGCTGGCTGTATGCGATTACCTGACTCAGATTTGTTTTTGCTCAGGGTCATGTGCTTTTTTTATTTTTAACATAACACAGGGGATCATTCAGGATGTGGTCTTCCCCCTGATGTGTTACACAGACACTGATGAAGAGCTGTGGCAGGAAGATCCTTATGAGTACATCCGCATGAAGTTTGGTAAGAAGGCCCCTCTACACCCCTGTTAATGAATACATCAGAGCCGTGAATGAAGAATCAGAATTGGATGATAAGCCATGAGTAAAGAATGGCCTTTTGGAATGAATGGCTCTAGGTGATAGGCTGTAATCAACATGGTTAATTGAAGGTCACTCTCCTACTTTTCTTGTATTATTCTGAAAATTTTCAGCCATCTTATTCCTTTAGAATAGAGCCAAAATGTAGCTCGGCCACATGGTGTCATCTGGATGCAGTGCCAGTACCGTGGACTGATTATTCCGAAATAGTTGAAGACTCGATAGCAAGTAATTGGATCAAGCAGATGTAATGAGACTTTCCCAGGTGGCTGTTGCTGCTGCACCTCTGTTGATTGTTGGTAACCAAGACTGGCATGCAATATGTTTCTTTTGAACAGACGTGTTTGAAGATTTCATCTCCCCAACAACAGCTGCGCAGACGCTTCTCTTCACAGCGTGTAGCAAGAGGAAAGAAGTGAGTGCTTAGTCAACATGTTTTAACACAGTTCCTCTTGTGTTTTCTGCAATGTTCCCTCTTTGATCGTGTCACATTTCAAGGCCCTCCTTTTTCTCTGTAGTGCAGCTCGTTGATCATTCGTCACTTCATCTGTGGGCTGCCTGTTTACTGAATAGTTTGGAACCCGAGTCACCTGTCAGTTCTCTGAAAAGTTACTTTAAATTATTTCACGGCCGTGACACGGGACATATAGAAGCGTTGCTTTGGTCAAGGATGTTACTTTTTGGAATCGCTCAAACTGTCAGAGATTTCTGTGTGAATTAAACACTAGTTATTCAACACGCGAGGTGACTCAAATTGCCTTTTCTCCTTGGTTACCTTTGTCACAAAGGGCAAAAGAAGTCCTTACAGAATTGCTGGGATTGGCTCGTATAACGTTGTCGGTTAAATGTTTTACGCTTTACATGTGGTGTTTTCCTCTCACCACAGACTGAACTGGTGACAGTTTCTAAAAGCTGAGGTGTCCTGGCTGGGGGCAGCCTGTGTGCGTGGTGACAGTCCATGTTAAGTGTTGCTGTTCGCCTGTGTCCTGCAGTCTGACAGCAGTGCTCACACAATGCCTGCAGCCACAGAGAAACTGGAGGTCATAGTACTGGTCTAGTGACGTCTCCAAGACAACGCCACCACTGGCCAGCCTCCATACTCTCCCACATGGTTTACCGTAAACACTTCGAACACTAATATTGTGTAATAGTACTGAACTAGTCATGTTGCAATGCAGATGCACTGTTGAACTTTTGAGTTGGTGAAGATTCAAGTGTTTCTACATGTTTTAGTAATTCAGGCGAATTCCGGCTTATAGCTGTGAGGTTCACAGGGTGATAAAAGTATTTTTAGCAGTGCTCATGTGAAGGGCTCTTTTCGGCAACAGGTGCTTCAGAAAACCATGGGCTTCTGCTACCAGATGCTCACAGATCCCACGGTGGACCCACGCAAAAAGGATGGGGCTCTACACATGATCGGCTCCCTGGCTGAAGTTTTATTGAAGGTATTTTTTTTTCTGTCTTGGAAGCTTTGTTTTTAACAGCGTCTTTTAATTCGATTTAAAAAAATGACTTTATCCTTCTGCCATAAAGGACAGAAAAATCTGTTAAACTCTACACATTTCCTCTTAACAGAAAAAGATCTACAAAGACCAGATGGAGTTCATGCTGCAGAACCACGTCTTCCCATTGTTCAGCAGTGAGCTGGGGTACATGAGAGCTAGGGTAAGACTGCAGCTGCTCATCATGCCATCCTCAGGCAGGATCTGCCCCTTAGAGTACAGCTGCATAAGCTGACACATTGATTTGTACAGTAGTATACAAACTACACCCCTCCAGTGTAGTTTTTCAGTTGTTTTTTCTCACTTGGAGGTACTTCTGCCTGGGCTTTGTGTGTATGTAGTTTACCATAAAATTCTCAGATTCACGCGACTTGGTCTCAGAACATCTTTATCTCCATGATTACTCTATATTAAGGAGCATCAGTTATGTATATACTGTCTGTGATTTGTGAGTACACCTTTTAAAGGTGCATCTTGTTGATTTAATTGGTAAGAGGCTTAATCGATTGTAGTTATTTTCTGGATGGTGGGGTGGTGTTTTTTTCTGAAAGGTTTGTTCTTTGAGGGCCTCTGCTCCCACCCATCTTCAGCAAGCTGTATGAGCTCATGGTTCTTGACGTTCTTTGTTCTCTGGCTTTGTGTAGGCTGCTTTTGGGAGTGAATCCAGTCCAGAATGAGCTTGATGGCGTGCTGGGGGGGAATGTGAAGTGTGTGTAGTCGAAGTGCATGATATCAGTAACACATTTCCTGATCTCTGCCCCTTTTTCAGGCATGCTGGGTTCTTCATTATTTCTGTGAAGTGAAGTTCAAGAGCGACCAGAACCTGCAGACGGCGCTTGAGCTGACGAGACGCTGTCTGATCAATGATAATGAAATGCCGGTGAAAGTTGAAGCTGCTATTGCCCTGCAGGTTCTCATCAGCAACCAGGAGAAAGGTGTCACTTTTGCTTATTCCCCTCCTGAGCTTTGGTCTGTCTTAATTAACAACCCATTCTGAGCTGCAGTTGATGGACAGGGAAGGTAAAACTACTGACAGTATAAGGAACGTGGATAATGTTTGGGTAAAACTGATCTTTAAGTGCACTTCATCAAGAAGGTTGCTCTTTCAAAGTCTGCGAGGTGGTGTTTCTAATTTTATCACACATTGGAAAGCACTCACGTTCAAGTGCTTCTCATGTAGATATCCAGTTTACTGGATTTAGGGATAAATCAAACGGTTAAAGCAAGGAACACTGGGTGATCGTATAACCCTCCTGATTTGTATACGTGATGTTGGCAACAGGTTATACATGTAGGTATTGCACCTTATTTACAGCTTTGAACTATGTAATCGGAGAGGCTGGTAATGTTTCTTTGTACTTCCTGATTAGATCTTGTACAGAACAAATGTATGCAAAGGAATCTCCCATGTGGCTCATTTAATTGCTTGTAGCCAGTTGATCCAAGTATCTTATCCAGCTGTTTCTTGAAGGAAGGCAGGGTAATGGCTTTAGCTACATAAGGGATAGCTTGTTTTGGGGGGGGGTCTGGAACATTTTGTCTAAACTAAAAGTGCTTCCTATTTTCAGTTCTAAATGAATTATCACATGGGATCTGCTTCTGTCATCGGGTTTGTGCTTCACTGCTGATCTCCCACATCAGTTCAGAAGACTCTATTATTGTTATTGTAATTGTATGGAAATCATTCATTGAAAATGCTGGCAAAATATTGGGAGATTCTATTAAGCTTTTTTTAAATAAGGTAAAAGTTCTGTCTCTGCCATAAGCTTTGCCTTGAGCTGAGTGGTGTAGAACAGCTTTACTCTTCCAGCATGCTTGAGCAGGGAGCTGCCTGACAGGATAAGTGAAAGCTCATCTCCCCCCCCCCCCTGTGCTTTCAGCAAAAGAGTACATCACTCCCTTCATCAGGCCGGTGATGCAGGCGCTTCTGCACATTGTGCGGGAGACTGAGAACGATGACCTCACAAACGTCATCCAGAAGATGATCTGCGAGTACAGCGAGGAGGTCACGCCCATCGCCGTGGAGATGACCCAGCACTTGGTGAGTGTCCAATAAGAAGCAGCTGCTCTTGCTGCTGTTCCTTTTCCTGTATGACTGAACTGGTGTGCCTTGAAGCCTAATGAGTACAAATTTGCCTGTGTTGCTGGTCTGTTCAGATATGCACGTTTTTCAACGAAGGCATTGTCTTCCTCTGAACTTCCTTGCAATTTTTAACCCCACAAATTTGGTAGATTTTCAGCCCTGGTGTCAAATTGGGAAAAGCTGTGGTATGAGATTGGTGGTTGTGCTGTGGTTGGTTTTAAACACAGAAGGATTGATGAAAGGAGGCTCTTCAGTATATTTGTTCATTGCGTTGTTAGTAGCTGAAAGGCTGAGTAAAAAAACAGGCTATTCAAAGAGACTTCACATTTTGAAGAAAGTTGCATTTTCATTATCTGCCATGATTACAGTGCAGTTAATGAGCCACACAGTGGCTCTTGTGGTGAGATCCCATGGGAGATGTCCTGAGGACTCAAATCTTCTCTCTCTTCTTGTGCCCACCAGGCGATGACATTTAACCAGGTAATCCAGACGGGTCCGGATGAGGAAGGCGGTGACGACAAGGCGGTGACGGCCATGGGCATCCTGAACACAATCGACACTCTGCTCAGTGTGGTGGAGGACCACAAGGAGGTCAGTGCTGCTCTTTCCCGTACAGGTGGCTTCAGTGCTTGGGTTTCAGCCCTGCTCAAGTGCTGGGCCAGACAAATCCATGAGGAAGGGGAGTAAAGACATCAAAGGAAAATAGATCTTTCCTCCCTTAGGCTAGAGCTTTGAAATTTAAGAGAATTATCTGTGTACATTTAAGGAGGGGAATAAACAGTGTACATTTCTGTGAGTATCCGAGTGTCGGAGGCATCCAAAGACAAGTTTTTTTTTCTTGGGGGAGTTACCTAATGAGCATTAGGTAAGCAAAAGCCCCCATCTTTCCAAAAAGGCAATTCTGTGTCATTTTCTCAGTTTTTATTTTTAGTTTTTGTCTACAACACATGCTGCACAGCCTCCTCCAGATTACAGGCACAGACAACCCTTATGCTCTGCTTATATTAAACTGAGATAAAAGGAACAGGGGTTTACTCATCAGAACAGCTGCTTTTGCATTCTCTAGACTTGAAATAATTCTTATAAATGCTCTTGAGCGGGATGTAATACCTTCTTTTTAAAATCGTTTATTCTGCAGCATGTTAAATGTGCATTTGATCATTTCTTTAGCATGTAAGCTTTTTCTATGTTGGTCTTTAACAGTGCTTTTTTACAACAAGCTGATTTTTTAAAATGTTTGTTCCCCAGACAACAGAGGTAGTCCATCATGTTTGCATTTGACCTACTTAAAACATCTGAAATTATTTATCATATTTTAGTTGGAATAAGTTTTGGTATTTACCATATACATTAGAGTTTGTAATAGGCAATGGAGCAGTGTCACTAATCTATAATTGTGTAATTCATCTTGCTGATTTTCTTTGAAAGGCATGAGATAGATATTCCTAGATCATGGAATCTAACGTTACTGAAATGGATGAAGAGTGATGTGCGTTTATTGTTAAAATCCTTACAAATCTTATTTTCCTAAATGTGTTTATGCCTGTTCTCTCCTAAGATTATTCTTCCTTTCGTTCAGGATTTTAAAGTTTTTAAATTTATGATGATGCCTGTTTCAGATCACTCAGCAGTTAGAAGGTATCTGTCTGCAGGTGATTGGAACAGTTCTGCAGCAGCATGTTTTGGGTGAGTGATTAGATTCATGTGGTGCAGTGTTTTTTCAATAAGCTTTTTTTATCATTGTTCATTAAGTTATGTAATTGATAATGCAGAAAATTGGATGAGCTCCATATTGACAGTAGAAGTTAACATGAATTGTTTCTGTTGTTGTGTCTGGTGTTCAGAGTTTTACGAGGAGATCCTGTCTCTGGCTCACAGTCTGACGTGTCAGCAGGTGTCCCCACAGATGTGGCAGCTGTTACCACTAGTCTTTGAGGTCTTCCAGCAGGATGGGTTCGATTACTTCACAGGTACCAAACTGCTGGTCTCTGAGTCGCGATTTAAAATGGGAAATGAGTTCGTGGGAGTCTGCACATTTAAACATGTTATTTTGTCATTTTCTCTGCTAAATTTGAACCACCTCTTGTACCATTTCACTTTCCTCTTTCAGTACTGTAAAAATTCTATTTAGGTTTGTCTACAATGCTGGCAGATCTTTTATTAATTTAAAAGGGCAAATGTAGGAGTAGGCAAAGCTTTAAACTGTGCAGAATCTTCTTCCAGGACTAAATTTAAGCTCTCAGTCCGGATCAGGAGGGTCTCACCCTGCTCCTGTAGAAGCCCTGTCCAGCAGGTAGCCACTAAATCAAGATCTAAAGACCTGGAACAATTTAAATGTAATCCGTTAAAGTATAAAGGATTGTCTTAAGCTGTCATGTCTACCTACGTGTCAATCATATTGCTGTTGTGTGCCGTTGTGCATGTATGTGTATTTGCAATCAAATGCTGAGTCACATTTTGTAAGATAACAAAACTAGAACTTGTGAAGTGGAGTTATCTTCTGTGGTTTATGTAACAAAAAGTGTTCATTTTTTTGCAGCAGTGAAATGTGTAACATTATAACCAGTTTCCTCCTGGAACTGGTCAATGAACAATAGTCACAATTTTTTTTTCCCCCCCCACAGATATGATGCCTCTTTTGCATAACTATGTCACGGTAGATACAGATATGCTTCTGTCAGACACCAAATACCTTGAAATGATCTACAGCATGTGCAAAAAGGTAAAGCCCTCTAGAACAGCCACAGTCCTGTGTGTTAGCAAAATCTGAATACCCATAGTTCTCTGTTTAGTGTAGCTTTTGCTAAGCATGGCAGTCTTTCCTGTCTCAGGTCCTGACAGGAGATGCGGGTGAGGATGCCGAGTGTCACGCAGCAAAGCTGTTAGAAGTCATCATTCTGCAGTGCAAAGGGCGTGGCATCGACCAGGTCAGTACAGCCACCCTCAAAGCAGGGCTGGTGTTGTGTTCACAGGCGACCCCTAACGGCTAGTCCAACATCGTTCACTTGCACCGCCTCACTCTTCCTGTTTTGGTATATTGGTCACGACGGACCTTGATTTATAAACCCCAAGGAGGTGCAGATTGTATTAAGTGCCACTTTTAACCTCAAAATCGTTGCAGAATGTAATCAGCTCAAGTGTGCATCTGGCAAAGTGCAGGCTTTTGGAGGAAGACTCATCATTTTGAAAAGTATATTAATTATATTCTGCAATATAATCCCTGGCAGCAAGTGGCAGGATGGTTTTATGGGGCTGTTTTCACCTGTTCTTGCAAATCTGCTCCAGTGCTGCTGTCCTGTTGGAAGAGTGGTGTACTGAATGAGTGAAAGGGAAGTGGGGCGTCCCAGTTTTGGGGGCGCTTGGTAACAAGCCGGTGTGTGCTGCTCTGGCAGGTGGTGCCCCTGTTCGTGGCGGCGGCACTGGAGAGGTTGACGCGGGAGGTGAAGACGAGCGAGCTGCGGACCATGTGCCTGCAGGTGGCCATCGCAGCCTTGTACTACAGCCCTGCTCTCCTCCTGAACACGCTGGAGAACCTGCGCTTCCCCAACAACACCGAGCCCATCACAAACCACTTCATCACGCAGTGGCTCAACGACATCGACTGCTTCCTTGGGTAAGCCCGGATCTCCTGTCGGTGGTTTGCAACTTAAGAGTGTAAAGGGGAAATGTTATTTTATTGGCATTAGAAGGTGTCTGTTTTAGGTAAACAGACACTCTCCAAATTATGTATGGGTTACATTCTACAAAAGCTTCCATATGTCAGAACAAACTCTTACACGGTATGTTTTCACTTAGCGCTGTTATTATAGTAATAATACAGATTTACACCTCTTGCATCACTCAAATATTCTTCAGCCGCAACTTAAAACAATACGAAAACATGGCGGAAATTATTCCTGACATCGCACATGGAAGTGATGCACAAAGTGCAGCATGACTGCCTCTTACCTCCCGAGAAACGGGACTAGTTTCTCACGTTAAGGCCTAAAATACATTTCACATCAATCTTTATTACTCTGGAAACTTTTTTGTGGAAAATCGGATTTATGCAAGTCAGGGAGCGTCTGTACTCCTTATGCTGTTCAATGTTTTTAGGTGAATTTAACAAAAAAAAGAGACCTAATTTCTCCCCGTATTGGACCCCATGATGCTCAGGATTTGGGCAAACGGCAGTGACCTTGGTAAAGCTGATCCTCTGTGTTGTGTGTGCGTGCAGACTGCATGACCGGAAGATGTGTGTTCTGGGCCTGTGTGCCCTGATGGACTTGGAACAGAGACCGCAGGTGGTGAACCAGGTGGCCACACAGCTGCTCCCCGCAGTCATCCTGCTCTTCAACGGGTTGAAGAGGGCGTACGCCTGCCGGGCCGAGCACGAGAACGACGAAGATGAGGATGACGAAGCGGAAGATGATGACGAGAACGGTAAGAGCTGGACTGGCCACAAGAGCTGCTGCGGCTAAAACCATAAAATTAGCCTTGATTGGCTCTTCACCTGTAACCCCACAAGGGCACTAGGCAGACTTGGACTGGAGGACCCATCAGTCAACATCACTCTGTTGTACAGTTTCTAGATGCTAAATACTGCCCCAACACATGTCCACTGGATAGCTTACATTTTTTTTCTACAGTAATATCAATTATTTTTTTCCCCAACTCTTCCTTTTATAGGTTTAATTGTTCTTAACCTAAAATAACTGCCCACCGTAGCAATACTTTGAATAATAGGTGGTGTAGTCATCTTTGTGGTCAATAAGAAAAGTGCTTGCTGGGTGTCAGAGGGGCATTTAGCCTGACGGGGCTGGGGTTTCATTGGCAGAAGAGCTGGGTAGCGATGAAGATGACATCGACGAGGAGGGACAGGAGTATCTGGAGATGCTGGCCAAGCAGGCTGGCGAGGACGGGGACGACGAGGACTGGGAGGAGGACGATGCAGAGGAGACAGCCCTGGAGGGGTACACCACGGCTGTGGATGATGAGGACAACCCTGTGGACGAGTACCAGATCTTCAAAGTCATCCTGCAGAGTAAGGACTCACTGCTGTAAAATGACTTTGCACATTATGCCCTGGGCACAGAAGCATTTCCTTGGGCCATGGATAAATATAGCCTGCGGGTCTGAGGTTTCCATGTTCCAGAAAGAAAGCGATTAATTGCATCTGTTCAGAGGGGTGTGATAAACAGAGGTTATTTTAGAGTTGGGATATTTTTTCAGTGATTTTGTTTATACATGTGGAAATGCAAGTTAAGCTGCTCCAGGTTGTGCTCTGCAGGCATGCTTATAAATAGCATGGGGAAAGCAGTGGGGGGGTAACATATCTGTGGCTCTTATCTTCTAAAACAACAAGCCAGTTACATGCAAAAACATGTTGCTTTTTACATGTTGATATGTTATGACTTCTTTGTGAACTATGCACTGTTGGCCTTGTAGTGTTAATATTGGTATTAGTCATCTTTGAACAACTTAATTCCTGCTCTTAATATTTTTTCCCCTTTGTGAGTACTGTAAATGTAGTGCCCAAACTCTCATACACAGTTAACACTTTCATTAGTGCTGTTTGTTGCTCTGGTGCATGAGAATCTTTAGAACTGCACTCCTGTTCTTTCACACACTGCCAAAGTGAGATTGTCGGAACCTGGCGTGGACCCTATTCCAACTTCTCTTGAGTAAACAAAACTACTGTAAAACAGTTCTTCATGGAAGATCGTAGTTTATTTCATTCCTGTTCTTTACACATGCTTTGGCCATGCAATCAATGGCATTGAAGATGTTGATGTTTGAACTACTTGCATAGCTAGTGTTTTCAAATGGATGGAATTTCCTACCCTATACGTTTCCAGGACTGCAGCGTAAAGATCACAAAACCCATGCAGTGTGACCTTTATTTGTTTTTTAAATATGTTGTGCCTAAATGCAGACATGCAAATTAAAGTGGAAACCAGGAGGGGTTCTGTCCAATTTTTAATCTGTTTACAAAGGAGTATTGTTTTTTATACAACATTCCTTTTGTAAGCAGGCAGGAAGTGTGGTAAGGGAGTATGGTGATGTGGCTGAGGTTCTCCTTTCTGTGTGTGATGGCAGATGTCCAGACGCGTGAGCCTGCATGGTACCAGGCACTCACACAGGGCCTAGATGAGGAACAGGCGAAACAGCTTCAAGACATCGCCACCCTCGCCGATCAGAGAAGGGCAGCCCATGGTGCGTTCAACATTTCACTTTCCGGCAGAGGAGGGATTTGAATGTTCCCAGTGAAGTTCTCCAGCATAATCTCTAGTGCTCTTAGTTGTTTTTTTCTGGTATCCAAAACAAGCTGTTTAATATTTATAGTTTTTAATTTTTTATATATACAGTGATACTTATTTAATAAGTGTATTTATACTTATGGTCTATTAATTGCTTATCTCTGCTGCAAATGTAGAGTGAGTCCTGGGCAGTGCCCGTAGCACCAGAGGAGGAACTTTTTGTACAATTTAAACTTTTTAGTGTTTCACACAATATAGGGAATCTGATTGAAGCCTACTATGTTCGATCTGTATCTTTATGGAAAATAAGACCGAGGGAAGGGAGTTAGTGGTGCATGTAAACCTTCCCAGCATATGTAGAACACGTTGAAGTTAACGCTAGCTTTTTTTTTCCTTTCAGAATCAAAAATGATTGAGAAGCATGGCGGATACAAGTTCACAGCTCCGGTGGTACCATCTAACTTCAACTTTGGTGGCAACGCTCCAGGAATGAATTGAGTCGCCCTTTCCCTCTCTTACTCTGTGACTGGTTGTAGTGAAAAAAAGCTTGTGTTGTTCCCTCAAGTAGTGGTTCCAGAGCTGGTTCTTCTCACTCACTCTTCAATCTGACTGTACTGAATTGGACTTGGCACCAGAAGATGTGGGAAAGCAACCAAATGCCACCTATGGCTGGGGAAAACTAACCAAGAACTTGAAAAAGCAAAAGAAGAAATTAAGCTCCGAACTACATTCTTAAAGAAGTCCGAATGTGGGAGGGGATGTCAAGACGGCAGCTTTTTTTTCTTCCACAAAAATGAAATAAAAATCATTGACAATAGGACTAAGTATCTCATGAAATTCACAGTATAGGCTAGAAGGCCACCTTTAAATTATACCTGTGGCAGTAGTGTTTGTCTAGATTTTTGCATTATCAAATTCCCATGTTTGTAATGTATATAAGCCAAGGTACTATAGTAGCCTTGGAGAATAACCTTCGGCATTTGACAGGTGTAAGCAAGTGTATTCATATGTAGCATATTGGATACTTGTTATAGCACTATGTGATGCCTGATTATCTGTAAATTAATTAATAGCACTTTCATATTGTTCAGGTCTCCTAGCCTTCTGTATCAGACTGCAAATTTGTAAAATCAATGGAGAATATTTAAAAAGGCAAATGAAAACTGTAACATTCTCGCACAAGCAGGCAACTTTTCTGACCTGATTATGGCTGCTTGTCTCATGAATATGGTTACTGTGCTGAATAATCAGTGGCATTTCGTTGCTGCTAAAAAAGCAACTCCCTCTGGGTTTTTTTTCCTTTTTTAAAAAAAACGGTGTTAAATTTGGATACAAGACATTGTGTTGTACGCACTTGAAAGTACATTGGATACTTCATTGAAGCATGTATAATCGGACTTGATATTGAAGTTCTTGGGTTGAAATTATCTCAAGCGCTTGGTTGATGTATGGGTGAACCATCTCTATATACAACAAAATATTAAAACAACAAAAATTGGGTTACATGTTAGTTGTACCTTTTTAAAATACGATCCCAAAAAGGAACTTCTCTGCACACTGAGCAGTGTCGGAAATTCAAGGTCTGCTGAACCATCTTTTAGTCTGAGGAAGTGCAGAAAGAGGGGAAATGTGTAGCTGTTCATGAAAGTAGTAATCAAAAATATCTTCTGATCTGTGTTTACATTGCTTACACAAAGATGAGAAATAGTAAAACTTCATATTCCCCCCTCAAAGTTATGTCTTTAAAAAACCTGCAGTTTTAATGCAGAAGCATAAGTATGTTGAAGTAGGTCTTGATAACTGATCCTCATAAGGGTTGATGCCTAATATTTTTAATGGGGGGCCATCTTAATCAGGAGATCTGTTAAACTAATATTAAAGGACTCATTCACATTGTCCTTATTATGTTTATTGGCTTATTATGCTTTAGATTCTCATCTGTTGAATTTCTGACCGTTTCATCATCGAAAAAATCCTCTAGGAACAAGCCCAGCCCAGCTCATGGAGACTCAGAACTTACCTAACAGGTTTTATTAGTAGTCATTACTGGAACCCTAATTAATTAAAAAGGTGGATACATTTTTATATTTAAAACAAACATCTAAATACCCTTTAGCCCTTAATGACAGAGATTATTTAATTAAGCAACCAATTTAGTCAATAGGTGTTCTGAATCTTTACAGAGTAGGATGCAGGATTAACTGGAGTTGGGATTCTCTAGAAGCTAGTGTGGAGCCTATTGCTCTAGTTTGTTCTCTGTATTTCTTCATGATCATGGCTCTCCTCATACCGGTAACAAATTCACTACTCTTTTATTTTCAGTTATTCTGTGAGTATAACTGTCTGTGGAGCTGATGCCTATCTAGGTGTCTTTAAGCTCATTATAATTATTGTTATTGTATTATTATTATTATTATTATTAAGACTCAGTCTTGGGCTGGCTTAAAAGGTTACTTCTCAAATAGAACAACAAATACTTAAGTACGTCTGTTAATGTAGTTTGTGGGTCTGTGAAGATACCCCACCCCCTCCCCTTGTGAGGATGAGGGTTCAATGGAGTAAACCTATGAACTAGTAACCTAATCAATAAGAAAGGAATTGATGTGTGGGCCCTACTCCATACAAGAGGTGTATGGACTTCACTAGCTTTCCCCCTTCAAACACCTGATGGAAGATCATTAAGTGTTCTGAACCCACTGAAGATATGGATTTAAGTTACTAGCATTATTTATTCAAAGCTACAATAAAATAACTTGTTTTGTTACTGTATTACAGTGGGAGTGTACCCTTTGGTATTTCAAAGATCTTTCTACTTCATCTGAATTTACCAGTGGAAAATATTTTCCTCCACATGCAAGACAATCTGAAGTCAAGTGTTTAAAACGGGTACTATTGACAAATGTTCAAAGTGGTATTTGGTTCTTTTGTGTCCCAGAAAAATAAAACCAGAGGCAGCAAGGTGTAGCCAAGTCATGTGTAAGTTTGTGTTCTCTAGTATTTTGGCACATGCTGAGTTTTCCCATTGTTTGAAGGCTTCACCATCACAGAATGTATTTTATACTTAAAACATAAAATTGATGTAGGTGCCCCGATGTAAGAATGCCCATGTGGTTGTGACATTGATGGTTAAAAAAAAATGCCACCAATCTCAAAGTATGGTGAAAATTATAAGTGCTTAATTGAACGGCAGCTTCAAAGAGTCAGTTTTTTCCTCCTGCTTTTGTACCTGCTATTCACAACTGCTAAACATCCAACAACTTGTAACTATAACACGGCCAAGTACTTGTTTCCCAAGAGTTAACGCGGAACCCAGACGCACATTTAAACTCAACACGCCACTTGTTCAGGCCCAGCCAAGTACACATTGAGTTATCACTATTTCATCCTAAAGCTAGAGGTCGTCTGTCAATCCAATCAGGTGAGACCACACCCTTATATTCACAGAATGTACGACGGACAGGGCTTATGTTTGTGAAAAACTGTCCGTCTTGATTGTTGGTAATTGAATCCCTCCTGCTTTATTCACATGCTTCATCTGCATGCAATTACATTTTGTGTTTGTATGGTCCCTCTGATTGTCTTCACTCACCCCTCTCTGTCTCCAAGGAGTCTTAATATCGCTTTTCACACCAGTGACAAAGACCATTTGTTTCCATGTAGGTACAACTTTTCTAAGGTGATTCTTTGCCTTGGTGTTGTATATATTGCCACCTGGTGAGGATATGTGACCTTATTCCATACTTCTGGGGGACACAGCACCATTCGTACAGAGCAGCAAGAAGTCACCATGCACTTGAGTGAAGTCTTGAAAAGACTTGTAATCGGTTATGAAAAGTCCATTTTCGGAGAACAAACGGGAACACAAGTATGTTTTACCATTTTGCTCTGGACCCAAACATTAACCCGATTTGCCCTCTCTTGGGCTATGAGAATGACAGGTTTTTTTTTTAAGTACGTAAATGATTGCAATATATATTTTCATGCATGTAAGAACTACTTTGTTTCATCCAAAAATAATTAAGGTTAACATGAAAAGTAACTTTTCATGCATTCTTAATTTTACTATAATAAATTTTAGCTCTTTTATTCTATATTTAGGATATATTTTAGGTGTAAAGAATAAACCAATTTAAATGATTTGGTAAGGGGTGCAAGAACATATTTTGATCATCAAAAGGGTGCAGACTACAGTACAGGTTACGTATCACTGCTTTAGATCTCTCTATTACCATGTCACTTTAGAGATACCTTTTAAGTAAATATTTTAGATCAGCATATATTTAAGATTCATATTTAGGTTCAACATCCAAATTTGCACATATAGTACAATGGAATTTAGACCAAGCTTAACCTTGCCTTCAAATTGTTCTGAAATGTCACATTTTTCGATGATCACTCCATAAAATAGGTGTTTGTCTACCCTTAAAGGAACTTAAATGAAAGAACACAAAAAAATAAAAACAACTACTCAAATTATTAGCAACCAAGACCAAATACAATAAAGATACGGCTAAATGAACATGAGTGAGATCATTAATAAAATGGATAGACGAAGGAGAAAAGAATAAGAAAAAAGAAAATATTAAAATATAAGTGTAATGTTACACAAAACTAAAAAAAACTCACGAGTCCCTCAAATGTATCAAAATAGACGACTACACAGTTCAGATCTAGCATTTTATTTAAGAAAATGCAAGGCGTATACAGTACATGAAAACAGCAGACCAAGAAATAAACATTGCCCGTGTAGGATTTAAAAAATAAATATTAAATGTATAAAGAATTTACAAATACTAGAACTAGAAGAGCAATTGCCCGTGTAGGATTTCAGTTCTTGGATGCGTGCACTTGTGACGTTTTTTCTTTCCGGTCGAGTTCACTTATACGCTGAACTCGGCTAAATTTGCTGCAGACTTCCGTACGTCTAGGGCCATAAACTCAGCCTGTTTGCCAATATACATCAGAGGAAGGGGAAATGCTAGAATATTTCTACACGTGGAGGTCAACGGAGGTGAGATAGACTGTGAACAACATTAATTCACCCCCGCAGCAACACAGCATAACATACATTTCTGTTTTCAGCTGCGAGGCCAACCCCGCCATGTTTCCCTAAGCGTTTCATCAAGCGTCTGCCAAAACTAAGCGTACCAGAATGGCTTCCAGTCGTCTTCACCCCTCAATCTGTATGACGGGGGGGTGGGGCGTCCGCGAATAATGATTGATGGGACCACGGGCCAAACACGGGGCGGGTGGCTGGAAGTGAGCGTTCCGCTGACCAATCAGCGTCCTTACCCTGGGTTGGGCCAGCCCACGTTTAGCCCATCCCCCGTGTCTTTTGTTTCCATTCAGATGCCGGGGCTCGGCGGACGCAGGCGCTACTGTAGTCCGTTTCCTGCCCTGATGCATGGTGGTCGGACGAAGGAATTGTTGGAAAATTTTCGAGGTTAGTATATAAATGTGTTTTTACCCAGTGTGCCTTATTTCAAACAGCCATCTCCAGCGGGGAAAACTTTCGGCTGGAGACCGGAGAGGGGGGGAACCGAGAGGGAAATATACCGAATTAAAACACATCCTAAGGACAGAAGCCTGAAAGTGTTTTATTATTAATTAATGGATTCCGCGTTCTTGTGCTCACTGGTCTACGGTCCTGCTTTGCTCCTTTGTACGATTCCGAATTTGCCTGCTGCGTAATCGCCAACCGTTGCGGAATATAATAAAACGTTTATAATCTTACCTCGAAATAGCGCCAGGCTCCGTCAGTCGTGATCATGTGGTTTTTTTTTTTCTGTAAGACAACAAAAAAACCACGATTTGTGTATGATGGTGTGTATGTGCACCCAGCCGTTTACAACGTCGTTTTCATGAAGTCCCTACACCCCATTTTGTCCTTTTCGCTTACCGCTACACATATTTGTTGGGGACGGGGGTAATTAAGTTTTATCGCGGTTCGTTTTTGTTTTGTTTTTTTAAAGTAATGTTTCTCGTTCTTGCATCGCTCGGCTTGTGTCGAAAGTGACCAGAGAGAGAGATGATGTTTGAATGTGGAGGTCGGGGATGTGTATTAGGAGTTGACGTGTGCCGGGGGAGTCGGCACAGGGCTTATGCTGGCGATACAGATCGCTGCACCGCTTCTCTGTGGCCTTTGCAGTTTGAAAGGCTGGGAACCCACACCCCTTGATCACCAGTCCAGCCCTCGTAATCACTTGTTCACACAGCCATCTTTATTTTATTTTTTTCACTAGCTATCGCCTATCCCTTTCCTCTCGCCTGTCCACATGACCTGTCTTCACGATTTTGTTTTCCCTTTTCTTTCTGGACAGTTCCCGTGCAAGGTTGTCATTTATTAGGTGCTAGGTCCCTAAACAACACACGAAATTGCCACAAGGCTGCATTGGGTCAATAAAAAAAGTTACTCCTGCGTTGTGTATTTCTTTGCTTTTATTCCACGTGTGAGTACAGCCCCGTTGAGCAGCGCGGTACTTGGGTTTGCGGTTTAACACTTTTCAAGGTCCGTTTTGAATTTTCAGGATAATTTAATCAAGACAGGGTCCAATAATGGAAAGTCGCTTTGAAGCTAATAACCCGTCTTGGAACTACATACTATATACAATAACCTTAGAATTACATAGAGAAAATGGTTTATGGAGGTGATTCCAGATTCCATCAGTATAATTAATCAGCAGAAGAGACTCAGAATATGCCAGTACCAAACAGTATGATGGCATAATTTAAGTGGAGAGAGCTAATGTTGTCTTTTGCTTTAATTGCATCAACACTTCTCTGCAACAGCCTTCAGGCTTATCCACTGTGTTGTATTACAGTATTTCCTGTATGCATTTGGGATACAAATGAACTTTTTTATTTGTGAACAGTAAAGACTGAGCTACTGATAAATGATTTTCTTTCATGATGAATCAGTCCTCTTACAGGAGCAGCTGTAAACTCTGTGTTCATCTGGAATTGAAACATTCCTGAAATAAAAACTCCAATGATGTCATAGAGAAAGTTCAACCCCTTTTTGTGCTGCAGTTGGGAGCCCTTTATCCTGGGTTTCCCAGTCCTGATCTTTAGGATTTAATTGAATCCTTTCTTGAGCTACTGGTTTGCTTAATTCCAATATATTGTACTATCTTCCAATTGTAAAATGATGGAAGATATCAACTTACATTTTATTAGGAATGTGTCCTATGTACCTGAAAATGAAAACAATTATGTGTTCAATTAGGAGCTAAACTCTAGTACAAATGGAATTAAGATCAATAGCCACTGGTATCATAAGGACCAGGACTGCAGAGCCCTGACTTAAAAAAAAAACTATTATCTTGCACAGTATATCACAATAAAGTTTTATGTTTTGGGATTTATTTTGTCTCGGCTCTTCACTACCCATTTTAGGATTTATTTATTAATGAAGCTTACACTATATTAGTCATAGTGCATTTGTATTAAAGGTTAGGCTGACTTCATTTGAATTGAGCCAGAAAGCTTTGGAGCCAGTCATTCTCTTCAGCCATCCAGTTGCTTTTAAGATCTTAAAGGTTTTACATCTTACTGAGGTTTCAGGTCAAGTATCAGCTCGAAACAGCAACAAGATTTCAGAATTACTGAAAATCTGCATAGAGCCAATTTTTGAACATCTGAACATTTCACAAATGTCACAAATGCTTGTAGCATTTTAGGATAGCATCTTGAACTGGCAAGAAGGTAAATCTGTGTCAGCCTCAAATGAGCTTGTTCATTTCAAAATGGGTTACTGGTGACCTCTTGGGGTCATATTCAGAAAGTTCTAGCGAATTTGCCATACAGCTGCAGACCATTTAGTGTCAAGGGTAGTGGACTCTTGTACACCAAAGCCATACCCTACCACCACCACCACTGCTGCGTGCATTAGAACTGAAAGCTTTTATGTCCAGGTCTGTCATTAGCATTAGAGTCTGTGTACACTTGACCATCATTAATTTGAATCTGTGTTCACGACCAGGACTATCATGAATTTGAGTCTGTGTTCACGTCCAGCACTATCATGAATTAGAGTCAACGTTCATGTCCAGGATTATGATGAATTAGAGTCTGTGTTCATGTCCAGCGCTATCATGAATTAGAGTCGATGTTCATGTCCAGCAGTATGATGA